GGTATCAAGATGCTGCGCGAAGCTGGTGAGGAGCTTGGAGACTACGATGATCTGACGTAAGTGCGAAGGTGGAATCCTCAAAGGCTTGACTAATGTTTCCAGAACACCTCAAGAGAAGATGCTTGGCCGTCTTGTTCTCGAGAAATACAACACCGACTTCTACACTCTGGACCAATTCCCTCTTGCTATCCGCCCCGCGTACACAATGCCGTCACCCGCCGACCCTGCTCTGTCGAACTCTTATGACATGTTCATGAGGGGTCAAGAGATCTGCTCGGGCGCGCAGCGTATCCATCACTCAGAGCTGCTCGCAGAGCAGATGCGCAAGCATGATCCCCCGATTGATCCCGCCGGTGCTGGAACCAAGGACTACGTAGACTGCTTCAAGTACGGTTGCCCGCCGCACGCCGGAGGTGGTTTCGGTCTGGAGAGGATTGTACAATTCTGGCTCGGATTGCCTAACATCAGGATGTGCAGCCTGTTCCCCCGAGACCCCCAGCGTGTTGTGCCCTAAACATAATCTGCTAAAAGACAACGATGAAACACTGCTCGACAGCGTCGGCTTACCAGGGATGGGTCACGATGATTGGCGCAGACACAGCACCTTTCGTACAAAAAGGGTCCTGAGTTTGGCTGATGGTCTCAGAGCGGACGTGTATGGCATGAGATAAGGATTGAGAATTGATTCATTGACGGCGTCGCGTCTCATGGAGCTCATGGCCCGTAGTGTCACTCGCAGCTACTAGAGAAATATAAATATATTACATGTTCATCATCCAGCCTACAAACACACTACCCCTTCGAATAATTGTTCTACGACACCTGCTTGCTTCCAACGGGATGTGCCGCCTATGACCACCTAATCGTGATACTCCAGATGCGCTCTTGCTGGAATACTTCTAATACACTCAAGCGGGCTCACTAGATTCCAACAGCCTTCATCCAGTGCGACCAGACGCAGATGATCAACGGAGTCTGGCAATGTAAGATCCGTCGACAACCCATTCTGGCATTGACATGGGCGCCGATCTCTCATGCGTCGCGCGTGCTAGTCGCAAACGTCGAGTTTTGCCCTTCATAGCCAGTTATCCGCCAACAGCTGATAGCCCGCCTACGATCAGTCTTCACATAGACCAACGTGCGTGACAATGGCGCCATCCTTTCATCGTGCGATTGCAAAGTCTGACATAGCAATCCGCGTATCTTCCTCAACATTGCTTCAGCGTCGCGGCAGCAAGCTTCTTCTGTGCTTCGTCCCCGAGGGCCGCGGCATCCACCTCTTGTATAGCCTGCCCAATTGCCAATGTCGTCTTGACGTTTCCTCCATCAACGTGCACAAGTCCGTTTCGGCCGACGGTAACCTCGAAGCCGATTTTGGAGCCCAGGGTTTCCAACAGAGATATGCCTCCGCGCGCTGCAAGCATCCTCCGTGCCATACCCAGGCTGATCTTGAACACCATACCCCCCTTTAACAGACCAAGACCTTCGCCCTTGCCCGTGGAGGGATCGACACAGGTGAGCTCTGATGGTAGGTCCTTGCCGGCACTCGCGACGCGACAGTAGACCAGGGAGTTTGGGGGCAGCTGGGGCCGTGTCTTCTTGGTCGCGCCCTCGAAGGCTAGGTGGGGAAGGGTCGCAGCTGGCGTGTTCGGGGTGAGGAGACAATTGAAGTTCTCGGCGGCAGAGCCATTCACAGTCGCGATGACGAGGTCGCCTGCAAAAGGAAGATACTGTCAAAGGGATTAGCAAGCCGGTGGAAGAGACGAAATAGATCTCTCACCCTTCCAGTGTTGTACTCAATCGAAGCAGCATTCTTCTTGTTGTCCGTCACGAGCGCGCCCGCGACCGTGGCCGTGACCGTGTCTGGCGGCGTGTGTCGCAAACCGGGTCCGAGGGTGAGCGTCTTCTTTTTGCCTGTGCCAGTTGGCAGGGCGCTCTGCGCGATGTTGTCGCCAGGCAGTACGATAGTGGCTGAGGCTGCCATGGTAGTGCTCGCAAAGTGGTGTCCTTGGGTGTGGTAGAGCACCTGGTAACATGCGCCGTCCCTCGAGTGAGCTCATTCCGAGAAGCCCGTGCGCTTCCGAGAAAAATGCACGACTCTGAATTTCTTAGCCGCGAAGAAACACACGCGCTACAAACGCTACCACAGCCGGCTATCTTCTGTTCACCTGCCCCTGCCGCTTTATTGTCGATACTGAACGGCTTTCGTTTGACTCGAACCCTCTTTCCGTAACCCAAAAACGTCTCCCCGCGCAAGATGAGTGCGCAAGCGGACCCCGCGCAGCGAGTCGCGATAGGAATATCCTTCGGCAACTCGTACAGTTCCATTGCTTTCACCTCGGGTGTAAGTGTCCATGTCTGTCGCTGATGTCTCTGGATGTTTCTGACACATAACAGGAAGGCAAAGCAGAGGTCATCGCCAACGAAGACGGAGGTACGCCGCCTGTTGCACGCCCTGGATCCCCTCGACTGCTAACACTTGAAAAGACCGTCAAATCCCCACCGCCCTGTCCTACGTCGAAGGAGAAGAACTACACGGAGGCCAGGCCAAGACCCAATTCGTCCGCAATGCGAAGAACACAGTCGCCTACTTCCGCGACTTCCTCGGCCAAGAGTAGGCAATCCTATCCCACCTGTCCAACCACGTCGACTGACACCCTGCAGCTACAAATCGATAGACCCCTCCCCATGCCACCAGTCGGCCCATCCCGTACAGCACGAAGACGGCGTTGCGTTCAACATCCGCGATACCGCCGACGAGCAGGAGAACACCGTATCCGTTATCGATGCCACAACACGTCACCTGAAGAGACTACGGAGCTCTGCCTCCGACTACCTTGGAAAGGAGGTCAACGCCGCCGTCATCACCGTACCCACAAACTTCAGTGATGCCCAGAAGGAGGCCCTGAAGAAGGCGTCGACAAACGCTGGCATCGAGGTCCTACAGTTCATCCACGAGCCCACAGCTGCTGTCCTAGCATATGATGCCCGTCCTGGTGCGCAGTTGGCTGACAAGATCATCGTCGTCGCCGATCTGGGAGGCACCCGTTCGGACGTGGCTGTGGTTGCGTCCCGTGGCGGCATCTACACCATCCTGGCCACTCTACACGACTACGATGTCAGTGGCTCCAAGCTCGACCAAGTGCTCATGGAACATTTCGCCAAGGAGTTCCTCAAGAAGCACAAGTCGGCCGGTGACCCTCGGGAAAACGACCGATCGTTGGCCAAGTTGAAGCTTGAGTGCGAAGCTGTCAAGAAGGCGCTTTCCATTGGTACCACCGCCAACTTCTCCGTCGAGAGCTTAGTAGGCGGCACCGACTTCACCGCGACCATCAACCGCACCCGCTACGATCTCCTGGGAAGCAAGTTGTTCTCTGCCTTTACTCGTCTTGTCACTCAAGCTGTGGAGAAGGCCAACTTGGATCCTCTCGACATCTCCGAGATTATCTTGGCTGGCGGTAACTCTCACACTCCTAAGGTCGCTTCTGCGGTACGCTCAGCCTTCCCGGAATCCACCACCGTCCTCGCACCTTCCACATCCCCATCAGCCATCAACCCCTCGGAATTGTCAGCCCGTGGTGCTGCTATCCAAGCCAGCCTTATCCAGGAGTTTGAGCTTGAGGACATTGAACAAAGCACCCACCCTATGGTTACTGTGACACCCCACCTTTCCACCGCTGTTGGTGTGCTGTGCATCTCGGGCGATGAGTCCTCTGGCGTTTTCCATGCCATCGTCGACGCGGAGACACAACTACCTGTCCGACGCACTGCGACCATTGCAACGCCACGAGAGGGAGGTGACGTGCTCATCAAGCTTGCGGAAGGCTCACGACACATCAAGGTCACAAAGCCAGAGCCCAAGCCCAAGGCTGAAAAAGACGAGGATGATTCGGATGACAGCGACGACGACAGCGAGGAAGAGGAAGAGGAGCTACGGGAGAAGACATGGAAGGTTGGACAAGTGCTGAGCGAAGCTGCAGTCCGTGGTGTCAAGAAGGGAGGAAAGGTCGAGGTCCAGATCAACATCGGTGCCGACCTGAGCATAAATGCCATCATTCGCGAAGTAGGTGGCAAGGGCGGTATTCGTGGTCTCATCCAGGGACGCAAGGTCAACGGCAGCGCCTAGATGCGCCCGACCACTATACTGATGCGCCAGGCGCTGGACCGCAAAATTTTCATTACATGCGATATGAACGACATAGACAGCCTGTGTTTCTACTAGACCAATTTCGGTAGCTTGGATAGGATTATCGGAGGGCTTAGACCCTCGAGTTGATCACAATGAAGAGCACCTGAGCCCTGATAATCCAACGTGCTTAGAAAGTATGCATCTATTGCACATGTTGCAGGGATGTTACTTTCGATGTGTTTGCGCCTGCACCATATTGGACTGCATTTACACCCATACGACCAGCGCTCTCGAATGAGAAGTAATGCTAGTACAATGAATGAATTACACTAGTTACTCGCAAGGCCGCCAGTTGACAATGGGTCCTACGCAAGCCCAACCCATTGAGTAAAAGCATGGAGCATTCGTGCTGTCATTCGTACCGAAACGAGACAATAGGTAATATAAGACAAAAGCAGGTGACCCTAATCGTGGTCGTCTCCATTGGAGTGCCCGTGTGTCCAGGAACGCCAAGAATGCTCAACTGTGTTTCGTACAGCATCGTCCATCCATAACATGCAAGACTCCATGTAACCGCACAAGAGAAAGACAATGAACAAGCAAGAGCCAAGGTATGCAAAGACGCCATATGTGCGCCCTCATCTGGCTATGTTGGATTCCCACGAAGGCCAACCCTTTAAGGGAGGCAGCACTCAATGGAAACCCTCAAGCCGCGATGAAGGGATGACAGGGATGACAACAGCACGACCGAAACTTTGCGAAACGGATACCAAACACCTTGATCCATCCACGCCTACCCAATGCCTGCATGATATTCCAAACTCCGTAAACAAAACAAGCATTTTGAATGCCAGCAGAATCGATGACATGACTACAAGAGGCGCAGCTTCTTGGGTGGACCGAGGGAGCTGTTGAAGAAGGAAGACTCTGCGGGGCGCTTCTTGACAGTGGTGAAGGCCTGAGGCGCAGGCTTCATAGCCGACAAGGTCGCTTTCGATGGCGTCGCCCCAAGGAAGATGGACTTTGATGGGGTCTTGATGGCTGATCTGCTGAACAAGAAAGACGACTTCTTGACGGGAAGTGTGCGAGGTGCAAGCGGGCTCTTGTCGTCGAAGAACATGCCAACTTCGCAGTTTTCCTTGTCGTCATTGAAAGAGCGATCGAACTCTGAACTTGTCGGAGTGCTAGGCATCTTGCACTGGGATGAAGGAGGCAGCGCGTACTTGGAAGGAGTCTTGAAAGGTGTGAATGGCTTCGCCGTAGTAGTAGGCAGAGGAGTTGCTGGCTTCGCAACGGATAGGTCGACCAGGTAATGGTCTTCGTCCATACGCTTCTTGTTTGACTCACTATCCAACACCCACCCCACGTTGACACACTTGATGGCTCCCTTGCTTTCAAGGCACTTCTCCAGTGTGGACATGCTTCCATCCTTGAAGAGAACGTGGCTAAGAGACGCATGCGATATGTCTTGTACTACCTTTGCGCCCAGATCCTCGAGCAGACCGCGGAACAAGAAGTTCTGCTCCCTACCGTTCCGTGTGACATCGACGTAGAAGACCATGCCCTGAAGGATGCCTTCGTAGAGGAATAGATCGCTCTCGTCTGCTGGAACGTCTGTCCAAGCGACAGTCTTCTTAGGAGTCTTAGCGTCCATGACCTTCTGAGGTGATCGCAAGGCGGACTTCTTCGGTGACACTGGCTCGAGGGCTGCAAAAGTAGGTGCAAGTTTGAGCGGAGCCAGATGCATGGTGGGATTAGTAATAAAAGGAGAAGCCTCGACAGCTGTGTCCGTAGGTGCGATCTCACTGTATTTGCTAGCTTCGGTGAGCTCAGTGAAGTCGGCAAGCTCGCTTGGTTCTTCGAGATCGAACGAGTCGTTCTTCAGAGTTGAGAATCTTATAGGTGACGGTGTCTGTTTCTTGACTGAAGCAGTGATCTCTTCCTGGAGAGCAGCCTCGAGAGCCAGGCTTGGTGTTGTGGGGTAGTCGGGCAGTTCAGCGAGAGCGCGACGTGGAGTCATTGGTGCCTTAATATGAGCTGGTGTTTTGGGGTAATCGGGGAGCTCGGCCAATGCTGCCTTGGAGGTCACAGGCGCGCTGATATGAGCTGGTGTTTTGGGGTAACCCGGGAGTTCGGCCAGTGCTGCTTTGGAGGTGATGGGCGCGATGATGTGGGCGGGTGTGGCAGGGTACGCCTCAGGAAGCTCCTCGAATGCTTCCTGATCGGTGACGCCCCAGACGATCTGTGCAGGTGGAGTGCCAGAAATCTCCGAACACGAACGCTGGGCGGGCGTCGCATCATAGTATGGTGTCTTTAGCTGGACCGATACCTGGGTCTTGGCATCCGGTGTCAAGGAGACATCGGCCGTAGTCTGGCGGCCCTGGCAGTCAGATTCTTCAACAATGTGCGGATTCTCGACGAGCTGAGGGCCCTCTGGCACTTCTATTGTGGCCTCGACCGCGCTCTCTGCAGCTGTAGAAGTATGACAAGCCTCAATCTGGTCGACTGCTTCTTTCTCCTCAACATCGCTCATGGCGACATCATTATACCCTTGCTCGATGATTTCGGCCTGAACCTCGGGTGTAGCGATTGCGACAGGTGCAGCAATATGCGCAGGTGTCGTGGGATATCCTGCGAGTTCGGTAAGAGCGGCCTTGTTCGACAAAGGTGCGAGGATATGCGAGGGAGTCGTGGGGTAGCCGGGAAGCTCGGCGATGGCCTCTCTTGAGGTCATGGGGGCAGTGATGTGGGAGGGGGTTGTCGGGTAGGTAGGGAAATCTGCGAACGGTTTCTCGATTGCCTCCACGACAGGCTGCTCCACCTCTTCCATGACTGCATGTTCATCTGCCTCTACAACAGATTGCTCGATGATCTCCGCAACAGGCTCCTCGACTGTTTGAGCGTCCGGCTCTGGCTCAGACTTCGCCTTAGTGACAACAGCAGCCTTCTTTGTGAGCTTGCGGGCCGGAGCCTTGAGCGGCGACTCCTGTGGGACTGCAGGGGCATTACGACCGCGTGTGGCTCTCGGTACAATGACGGGTGCGGGTGCGGAGGCTTTTGGCACTGCTGCTTTGCGTGTACGGGGAGCTGGCTTAGCAGGCTCGCTGGCGACGGTCTTGTCGACAAATGCAGGCTCGCTCTTCTTGGAAACGGGTGTCTTCTTTGCGGGTGCTTTGCGTACAGCTCTTGATACTGGCTTGGCAGTTTCTTCGACGGCAGGCTCTGGGGCGACAGCAGGCTTCTCGACCTTGGGTACAGGTGCCTTTTTCACTGCTGCGATCTTGCGCGTACGGGCGGCTGTTGGCTTAGGGGCCTCTTCAATGGCTTCGGGCTCCTCTGTAGCGGCAGGCTCCTCGGCTTTGCGACCACGCGTCGCCCTCACTGCTGGAGCAGGGGCGGGTGCGGCTCTGGTCTGGACCTTGATGGTGCGCGCGGCCTTTGTCGCAACAGTCTTCTTGGCCATGGGCGGCTCAGCATCCTCAGGCTCAGCCCTGGCTTTGCGTTTCACAGCAGTTGTCTTTGTGGGTTTGGCCGGGGCAGGCGCTGGCTCAGCAGCTTCCTCGACTGCCTTCTTCCTGCCGCGCTTGGGAGGGGCGTTGAGCGTGTTGGGGGGTGCAGAGGCGACCTCTGGGGCGGTTTTCGCACCGCGACGTGTAGCGACCATGATGTCTGTCGATGTTCGCTGTCTTGGTGGTATGTCGTTGTCGGTCTGGGGTGAGACTGGTTCAGTCGAGGTTGTGGACGTGCTTGCCGTGTTGTGTTGTCAAAGCGCGAACGACGACTAGCCGCATCGGGACACGCGTTGCTCCAGCAACAATCCATGGATCGCTTGGCCGCCAATCGCCCCTGTGCAAACTCACAGCAGCAGACACTTGGGTGCGGACGAATGACCATCATGCCTATCGATTGTCTATCACCCATTCAAAGCTATACGTATGACTTCCATGCCCACTCCGCAGACCAACACCCTCGCATCGCCACCACCATTGCCTTCATCAAGCACCGCCATACTCGACGCATCTGCAACATTGGTCTTGATTCTATTTATCCTCTGGACCGTCAGAGCGCCTTCATGCTGTGCTGCAGTTTCAGCTCCAGCTTCGGAGTTTGCCTTACGCAGTACAATCCGCCACAATCTGATCCACTCGTCATTTCCTGATGTGACAAGGAAAATGTGTGATTTATGTCCGAAGAGAGCGCACGACGTTACTGCAGAGCCATGTGCGCGACTGACGAGGATTGGTGGCGGAACATGGGTTGTCGTAGGCGAAGTCGACGACGGCAAAGACGTAGACTGTGCGAGTATACACGCCAGACTGCCATCGTCACCACCGGATACGATGAGCCAGGTATCCGCACTAATGGCTCGGGATGTCATGGCTTTTGAGGAGCTTTGATGTATCCTTGCCGGATGGTGCCATGTCAAATGATCATTTGACCCAGTGAATTTTCCACGCGATCGTTCGGTATCTGCCATTAGCGGCCATACTACAATATGGCCATCGGTACCAGCTGTCAAGACCTTTTCTCTAGAGAGGAACATGCACTGTGTCAAACAGGATGTAAAGTAGAGACCCTTTCCAAGAGGCTGCCATGTGATAGTAGCGGCAGGATCATAACGATAGATCTTGTCACATCAGCGCCATGCTACATTGAGAATACGGAGATCAGCTCACCTTGATGCTGGAATCTGAGAACACCATCGTGATAGTATGTGCGGATCCCGACGTGATCACATCGAAAGACATGAGTCTCAAATCTGCGTGCTCACTTTCTGGGGTGTACACATGTTCGCACACGATTCCAATGTCAAGAGCGGAGGCGGGTAAGTCCCGGATCCGCCATACATAGACTGTGAAGGAAGTCAGCAGCAGCTTTGCAGCGTTGTACCCAAACCTTACATTCTTCACAGCCACCACTGCTGAACAGATAGTCACCGTCTTGCGACCATTGTAGATGCTGAATCCCCGTGGTGTGCTTGCGAATAGTCCTTTGGCATATCAGATCATCATCAACATGGCGGAAAATCTTGATATCGGTATCCTCGGCGCCTGTGGCGATGAGCGGGTGAGATCTACCGTTCATCTCCGATGTAACTGCGAGCGCCTTGATCTCGCGTCCATGACCCCCTCGTCGAACGACAGCATGATTCGGTCTGTTTTGACTGCATATATGCATACTAGAGGCTCGAGTCCATACTAGGATACCTCCTAGCGACGAGTGTGACCGGAAGGCCCAACTTCTATGCGCTCCTCCGGTTTCGATGCTCATGACTTGCTCTTCGCTAGTGACATCGTATAGATACCATTTCTTGCTTGAGAAGCCGTGTATGAGGAGATGGCCGTCCTGGAAGTATAAACCTTCAATGTTTGGTCCGAATGGTACCGCAAGATCATGCACCAGCTCGACAACGTTTGCAGATGCATCGAACTGGTGTACGCTGAGACGCCCATCTCTTCCTACGGAGAACAGGTGGCCGTGTACGGAGCCTACGGAGACTCCAGATGAGGGACACCATGTAAGACAAGTGACTGCTTCCGCACCGTGTGCTTTCTCAATGATCCGTAGCAAGATAGCAACATCCGTACCCCCCTCACCTTTACGGATTTCATACAGTGCGATCGAACCCCGACGGAACCCAATGATGAGAATGTCTCTCCCGGGTATTCTTGCATAAGTCATACTCGTGATGACCGAACCGGCCGAAGATTCTGCAATGGGTATCTGCACAACTCTCAGAACGTTCGTGTTGCTATCAGGGTCCACGTATAGCAATTGCGCTTCACCTTGACCAACAAGGGTCACAAGTAATGCCGCCGTATTTGGACCATCCGTGTCTGATACCTCCACAGCTAAGATGTCTCCAACTTTGCTACCAATGGCATGCAGATTTGCCAGGGTATTAGACTCCTTATTGTACACGTAGATGTTGCCGCTACTACCAGCGATGTAAGCGAAACCAGGACGGCAGCCACTCGTGCAGACAGAGTAACCAGAAAGATCTTCCAGTTCATCGATTAACTTCGAGTTCGAAAGGAGGCTTGACTGACTTGGGGCTGTCCTGGACGAAATGGAGCCGATAAGTACGGTTCCAGAGTTAGTAGTAAGCAAAAATGAGGTTTCATCGACAAAGCAATAGCTTCTGAAGAACTCTGCTTTCCTTGGGGACTTTGGACCGTCCACAAATTCAGGCCTGTTTGAATCAGGTTCGGCCACTTGCGCCCATGATAATATGTCGTGTACAGTATACTCAGCGATCGCACCACGTAAGTTCTTCTCTGCCTGCAGGATGCGCAATAACGGGGTAGCGGTGACTTTACTATCAGCGCCACCTGCAATAACCTGCTGTATTCCTGTTGAGTCATTGGAAACAACAGTCGACCACAAGTTCTTCCCGCTATGATGCGCGGTGCAGTCAAGTTCTAGCAACCTGTAAGGAAAGCTCGTGCTACTTCCGGGGTTTGGCGCAAGTTCCCACGTCCTTGCAGTTGCATCTTCACCGGCAGACTGGAGTAACAGTGATCCATTGCATGGCGATGCTTCGAGAAAGCGGACCGTCCAAACGCGTGAAAGATGACCCCACCCGATGGCGAGACAGCTCGAGCTATTAAATTCATTTGAGTCGAAAGCCTCGTTGGTAAAGCCGGTATGACGAGTTCTCAGAATCTCCAAGTCATTGCTATGAGCTTCCGAGGTAGTGGCACTAGTGTTCACATCCGAGACGTCCCATATTCGGATTGTGCGGTCATCGCTGCAGCTTGCTACCACCCGCCTCAGTCTTTGACAACATTCAGTGGGTAGCTCTTCCGAAATCTGGACCCCGAAAATTGAGCCCTCGTGACCCAAAAATACGCGATGGATACGGGAGGCGGATCCACCGCCGCCATTGTCGCACCATGACCAGTATATAATTTCACCGAACGCTGTACCAGCAGCAACGAGGACCTGGTTTAGATTCTCCCAGAACAGGTGAGCGGAGTAGAGGATAGATCGAGAACTTGAAGTTAGATCAGATACAGCTACATCGATGTAACTGAAATCAAAATGTCAGCAAGGAAATGATACTCCAGCAGATCAATGTGTGGTATGCGCACTTGGTTATGTGGAAGTCGTCCGATGTCCTTTGTTCCATCTCAACGTGCAGCAGTGCGTTATGAGCAGTGACAGCAATGCAGGATCCTTTGCGGTACTGAGCATCGTCATCCAGGCCTTTGGGACGAGGAGCGAGATCAAGAATCCAATCTGAAGCTTTCGCGACGTTGGAGAAACATAGGCTCAGGCCTTGTTGGCCAACTTGATCTGCAAAGTCAATCTCAAGGGCGCGGATCAGTCTTCCACCCCAGATGACCAGTTTGATAACGTGCGCATGCTCTTCCGAAAAGACGCGTATTCCATGGATTGATTGAGCTTTGAAGACGCGCTCCGAAGAGATGTACCGCGAGTTGCTGGCATGGTGGAAGCGTAAAAAGGGGCCTTCTGCAGCGATCAGCAGAGCGCCGCAAGAGGCCAGTGCTGTCACTGGTACGCGAATGCATTCATGCTGCGGTGATTAGCTGCTGTCTGGCTCGATGCAACGCAGACTCACGTGTAGAGTTGGCAACATTGGCTCGCCAGAATCATATGTGAGGTTGGTGTTCATGATGGGAAAATTGGGGTTGAGTCCGCCCCGCGAAGTGTGGCGGGCGTGGCGGGGCAATGACGGAGTGCGTTTCCGCGATTTTTTGTCGGCCTTCACCGCGCTGATTGCTGCTACAAGCACCCACATCACTCTCTACACTCTCAATTCAACCTGCTCATAGATAATATTTCCATAGCAAAATCGCCAACATGTCTCTCGCAGGCCCACTAGGCACGAGCATCAATCCAGAGGAGACTGAGAACTTTGAGGATGCAGGTACCCCAAAGCCAGCGCGTCGACAGTCATCGCTAACCGCGTCTACAGATCGAGAAGCAGTTCGCGGTCAAAGGTACAGATCACGAGACCTGCCGGTCGCGACCATGCTGACAGTATCACACAGTTGTGCAGCACATGGAAACATACTGGAAGATCCTCGAGAAAGTACCCGGCTCCAAGCTGCGACTCACCAAGATCGACGACGAAATCTACGAACACCTCAAGACGGAATTCCCCGAGTTCGACGCATCAGCCACACTAAACGAGGATGAGATGAAGAGCAAGGAGGGGAAGGAGCGATGGCGCAAGTTCATCAGTGAGTACGAGAAGAAGGTCGAGGATTACAATTTCGGCACAATGCTGCGCGCAAGTCCCAAGATGGAATACAGCCAGGAAGGCACAATATTCGCTGTTCGGATGCAGTTCTACGCTATCGAAATCGCACGGTAAGCTATGCCCTGGATCTAGCGGCGCGCCCGATGCTGACATGCGCAGTAACCGAGAAGGCCTGAATGACTGGATATACGAGAAGGCGCAGGGCAAGTAGTTCACCGCAGGATGATCCTGGAAATTCTAAATTCCAAGTTATTGTTCGCAAGGGACGCCAATACGCGGCTGCATTGTCGACATCCGGCCCGTCACTTATTCGTCGCTTACGAGCTCACGTTCTTTGTCGGCCGCCCAGCTATGACCGTCTATGAATATCTGTCATGCAAGCCACTGGATCATCGGTGGAGTACCATATTGGCTTGATAATTGACGTATTGATGAACGTATAATCTTCGTCAGTCGCCGGCCTATACTGTGCATGTCAACTACAAGACCAACAAAGCGCTGAATCAGGTGTGTCGCTCTCAGCTCACCATCCGCTGATGACCTGCGCGGAGGAAGCCACTGTTTCATCTCGTTCTAAAGTGATCGCATGAGCGGATGCAATTTTTGGGCTTTCCGTGAAGGCGGCGATTGGTGGCTGGAGAACAATGTTAAGGAAAGACAAAGTAAGCGACGAAAGCAGGTGCGCGGAAACCATCTTTCCAGGGCTACGACCACATGGCCGCCACCGACTAGTCCATATGTGGTAATTCCCTATTCTCTGTTCTCACTTCATCTCGCCTTCGGGTCGCTCTTACTTTTTGTCGATTCCACCACCTTACACTCTCTTTTCGCAGTCGCTGCCGTCGAGTGGCCAAGATGGCGACGACGATTAATCCAAATGCGACCGCCCGTTCCGAAAAGCCGCCATCTCTGAATGATGAGGAGCAGGATTATATAACGAATGTGGGATGGAGGACGTTGTTCACTTTCGCCACAAAACAGCATATGCCCGCACTGCTTGGCGGTATTGCGATGGCGTCCGTCGCTGCGCTGTCCATGCCCGCTTTCGCAATCCTCTACGGTCTCGTATTTGGTCAATACACAAGCTATGGCGAAGGATCGATAAGCAGCAGCCAACTCATGAGCAACATGGCCAGGTTCTGCGTAATTCTTACCGCTCTCGCAACACTCAACTGGATTGCCAATAGTTTCTACTATCTCTTCTTTCTCATGTTCGGAGAGCTCCAGGCGAGGAGTGCTCGCAACAGAATCTTCGATGCTCTTATCAAAAAGGATATGGCTTGGTTCGATACGCGGGAGGATGGAATCGCCGCATTTCTGCCGACAGTACAGATGTAGGTGCCACTCTAATGTCGGAATCGCCGTAGGAATACGTTCGCTAACGAAGAACAGGCACGTGCGCGACTTGCAGCTTGCAGTATCATCTCCTTTTGGCGAAGCTGTCCAGTCGCTCGTGCAAGGTGTCGCATCCTTGGGGGTCGCTTTCTACTATTCGTGGAATCTAACATTGGTCGTCTTGTGTACAATACCAGTTCTATACTTGGTTCAATCCTCAGTGGCAAAGCGGTTGTCACTACGAGCACACGAGCATTCCGAGAACTTGAAGTCGGCACTGAAATATATTACGACTGCAGTAACAAGTATTGAGACGGTTAAATGCTTCAACGGGGAAAGATACGAACTCCACGTCTTTACCAGCATCGTCACCATTGCAGCGAGCTTATACAGAAGCGTGGCCAATTTCCGCTCTATGCAGATCGGCATTATGCAATTTTTTACGATCAGCGTTTTTGTTCAAGGGTTCTGGTATGGTAGTCACCTCGTCGAGACCGGGGAAAGTGACCCAAAACAGGTCCTCACGACGTTCTGGGCAGCACTTATGGCAATGTCTGGGATGACCCAGATAATGCCTCAGCTGATTGTATTGCAGCAAGGAAAGATGGCCGGTGCAAGATTAAGTGTGCTTATGAAGCTGATTTCAACGAGCGATCAGCAATTCGAATCGCAAGGCAAACTGCGGCCTGAGAGATGTACGGGCCAGCTCGAATTTCGAAAGGTAATGCTTCTCACGCCGCGTCAATGCTCCTTACTAACTATTTACCAGGTCACATTCTCATATCCTTCACGCGCAGACGAGACTGCCATTCGAGATGCTTCGCTTCTGATCCGGGCTGGAGAGACGACCTTTGTCGTCGGCAAAAGCGGTTCCGGAAAGAGCACACTAGGACAACTTCTCGTCCGCTTCTATCGGCCTTCTTTAGGACAGATCTTCCTGGATGACGTTCCACTCGAAGATTTGGATGTCAAATGGTTACGACAGAATGTCACGCTTGTTGAGCAGCACAGCGTACTGTTCAATGATACTATCCGCCACAATCTCGCTCTTGGTCAGCTAGGTGATGCAGTGGATATGCAAGATATCCGCAATGCAGTCAAGTTTGCTATGCTAGAACCTGTTATGGAGAGCCTTCCCAATGGACTGGATACTGAACTCGGCATGAAGGGCGGCTCATTGAGTGGAGGGCAGAGACAAAGAATGGCTCTAGCTCGAGCTAGGATTCGGAACTCGCCGGTGCTGATCCTGGACGAATCAACCAGTTCTCTTGATTACGTTACACGAGCCGAGATGCTTGACGCTATACGAAGCTGGCGGAAAGGGAAGACAACGATTATCATTACCCATGACATCTCGCAGATCCGACCCAACGACTTCCTGTACTTGCTGGACAACGCCCGGGTAGTACAACAGGGGTGTCGAAAAGAGCTCGAGTCACAAAATGGATCTTTCAAGTCTTTTCTTGATACGCACACCGAGGCTGACACAGACGATGAGTCTGATGATCATGAGGACGACTCCTATTGGGGGCCTGAAGCTGGTGACGGCAATGTGTTACACGAGGAGTCACGGACAGCCCGGATCATTTCTATGACACGTCCGCTATCTGCTGTTCACTTTGGACAGTCAGTGCTGGAGACTTATTCCGAGAATACCCGCGCGTCTTGGGACTGTACTGTACCGGTCGATGTAGGCCCAGGCCCAAGGCTATCCATCCATGAACAGACGGCTGATAGAGGCGGTAAGATGGAGCCCATTGAGACGAATCAAGCATCTCCAGATTCTGTGGCATCGAGACATCTCCCGTCTATGCCGTCTCCTGTCAAGAAAAGGATCTTATCGAAAGACCATGGCTCGAGACCTGTTTCAAGGTCGAATCTCCACAGACGCTCTCTGTCGTTTTCAAAAGAACATAGCTCACGTTCAGACCCCAAACTATCTACGCGACCGGTCTCGCCGATCGGTCCGTACTCGCGACCCTTTGCGACCAACGAGTCTGTCCCAGTTCTTTCGGACGCACCGAAGAAATCTTCGAGAAACGATAAGCTTCTTCAGAGAATCAAACGCTTCCGCAAAAAGAACCCTAGTGAAGACAAGGATTTCCCGGCCGCCTCTCTTCCCATGAAAGAGATAGTCATGTCTGTGTGGCCCGCTATAGGCTGGGGTCCGCGTCTCCTCATTTTAGCGGCATCCTTCAGCGCAACGATTCATGCTGCATGCACACCAGTATTTGCATGGGTTTTCGCCCAGCTTTTGACTACCTTTTACGTGTCTGGCGCTAGGAAGGAAATGTCCCAAAAATATGCCCTCGTCATTCTTGGTATTGCCGCTCTCGATGGTTTATCGTGCTACCTCATGTTCTTCCTCTCAGATACAGTAGCGCAGGCGTGGACTCTTTCGCTGAAGAAGGAAGCCATGCGGCGCATCCTCATGCAACCACGGAAGTTCTTCGACAAGGAAGAAAACAGCGTGTCGCGGCTTGCCGAGACGTTGGATCATTTTGCTGAAGAGGCTCGAAATCTTCCAGGCCGGTTTGCTTGTGTCTTTCTCACTATGAATCTTATGGTTTGTATTTCTATCTTTTGGAGCATGGTCATAGCATGGGAGTTGGCCCTGGCTGCTCTCGCAACCGGTCCTGTTCTCTTCGTAATCACGAAGTGCTACAACGTTATCAGCAGCCGCTGGGAAAGATTGGAGAATGAGGCCGCTGACAAGGTTGGTCAAGTGCTCCACGACGCGTTCGTCAATATCAAGACTGTTCGATGCCTAGTTTTGGAAGATTACTTCAAGGAAAGGTATACCAACGCAACCACCGAAGCCGTGAATGTCGGCATCAAGCGCGCAATATACTGTGCATCCATCCACGGACTTTCATTCACTGGAGTCATCTTCGTAACTATCCTGCTATACTGGTATGGAGGTTATCTCATGTCGAAAAATGAGTACACTGTCAATGAAGTGTTGGAATGCTTCTTGGTCCTCATGCTCAGTGTCAATCAAGTTAGCTATATGGCGAACTACGTCACTCAGGTCAACATGGCAAGGGATGCTGGGTCACGATTACTACGTCTCGCACGACTACCAAAGGATTCACACGAGCTCACCGGCGAAATTCAGATACAGTCTGCAGGTGACATCTCGCTGAACAAAGTCACCTTCAGTTATCCAGCCCGACCTGAGACCCGAGTACTGCATGACGTGTCGTTTCAAATTCCACAAGGGAGCTGCACCGCTATCGTCGGATCCTCGGGGGCAGGCAAATCTACAATTGCCTCTCTCCTCCTCAAACTTTACCAAGTAGGCAACAACCCACTCGCATCCTCCAACCCGTCAAGCGATATGACCGTCTCGAATTACGATATCAAGACCTTGCATACTACCATCCTCCGTTCCCGGATGTCCATAGTATCACAAACGCCCGTCCTCTTTCCCGGCACTGTCGCAGAAAACATCGCCTACGGCCTATCCCGTTTACTTCCCGAAACAAGCATCAAAAGCATCCGCGCAGCCGCCTCTGCAGCTGGCATAGCTGAGTTCATCGACAGCCTGCCCCAAGGCTACAACACGCTTATCGGCGAAGGCGGCACATGTCTATCCGGAGGCCAAGCCCAACGCGTCTCAATCGCACGCGCCCTCGTTAGAAACCCCGATGTGCTCATCCTCGACGAAGCAACGAGCGCGCTAGACGTAACTTCCGCTCAGACCATCCGCGACACCATCCTCAGTCTCGTTCACGGCATCGAAGACACTGGATCCACTATATCCCCACCCACATCACCCTGGAACCGTTCAGGTTGGTTTTGGGATGAGATAGAGGGGAATTGGGATTACAAAGTTGGATATCCCCTGCAGCAGCGGATGACTGTGGGCAGTGGTAGTAATATGGGCAACAGACCGAAGAAACGGATGACAGTCATCATCATTACGCATGCGCGGGAGATGATGGCTATTGCTGAGCACATTGTTGTGTTGGATCAAGGAAGGGTGGTTGAACAGGGTAGCTTCAACGAACTGAAGAGGAAAAGGCAAAGTGCTTTTGGAAGGTTGCTAAGGGGTGTGAGGGAGTAAATTGATTGAAGTAGGGGTTTGAATGGCGAAAATAGCCATTTGTCTTGTTTCTGAGAGAGTTTTGTGTCTATCTCTTCTTTGTATAATTTCAAATACATGCTGCTCTCTCGATACTGATGTGTTCATGTTCCTTTGTGCAAGCACGAAACTGAACCGTTACATAAATACTAATTATGCTGCTACTTGACAGACTGTAATACATCAGGTTTAGAGCAGGCAGCAAACTGGATAATAACGTAGCCGCCCGTGGCACCTAGGTATGCACGTTCTCTTGCGCATTAATATGGTACTGCAGGAGAGAACGAGGCGTGTGGCCCTTTCTTTCGTGTCTATATAGTTAATCTGACGATACTTCACGAAGAGACATCAAGCCTATCATGCGAGTGGAAACCTCCAAGAACAAAACATTTATTCCTAGTTGATCATAGCTATGGCGTTTCTTCCCTTATACCGCACGCGCTTCCTACGGCAGACTATCGTTCAGTCTCACAGACAAGCGTACAAGAAGGCGGTAAAGCAAATATTAGAACCTCGTTCGAAGTGGATGGTAACATTCTTAGCCGTAAATGGGCGGCAGAAGTACCATGACCATGTAGCGAACGAGGCAATTGTGCAATTTTGTTGTAAAGCAAGAATGAGCGCAAAACCACACAAGGAGAGAGTGCTCGTAGAGAACAAACCCAATAACAAGGTATGCTCTTGAAAAGTGTAGTCGACCCCGGTCAAGTCGTTAGATGTAGCGACAGCTCTGGGTTGACTGTGAGTGGAAGGATGTGGGACATGATGCTCCGTTGGACCAGTTGCTAAGACCTGCGATCATTTTTCGCTCAGCGTTGACATGATGTGATGTAGACTAAGGGGCCGCGAGGTCACCGTACTGTCCAGTACCTGTCCTATCCTGCTCAAAGCCCCTTGTGTGCTGATGGCTCATGTCTTGATCGCGTTCAACGTTTCGTTCGATGGCGGCGTTGTGAATTTCGACTACTGCGTTGCTACTGACGCTCATCTTTCGGTTTGCTAGTTGGGCTCCCATAGCTTTCGCCGTCCACCGCCGCGAACGGGGCCCACTTTGGGGGCAGGGCGAGAGAAAGAGTCTGGATCGAGAGGCGCATTCGGATCATGTCGAGGAGCTGGTGGAGCTCGGAAGACTGGGCCTGGAGGAACGTATGCGCCGCGCGATGCAAAGTTACCACGGCCCCGGAAGGCTGGTCCACCGCGACCGCGGGGCGCCGCATGAGCTCCACGTCCACCGCGAAGGGACTGTTGCTGGTTTGTGCGAGCAAAATCGTTGGGGTCGAAGACGTGTTGGTTGCCGGTAGTGGCGGCAGGGCCTCGAGGGGCGCGCTTGAAAAGTACCTCGTCCTCGTCATCGGAGATGTCTTCGGGCTTAGTCTCGTTTACGTTCGTGTGGATGGGGCTGGACTTGGGTCGCTCTGCGGCTTTGGGTGCGATTGGAGAGGCGCTCTTAGCAGCGGTCGCTTCGACCTCTAGCTTGTGGATGGTCAGATGGTTCTTGTATTCGCGGTCTTCACGAGCAACAGCATCTCGGAGCTGCTCAAGGCGTTTAGCACGGATGCCGAACTTCTGAGCGATGGCCTGCTTGGCAGAATCATTGGTGAGGAGGATGAAGGACTCCAGGGCCGCATCTGGATTGCCCTCCTTGTTGATGCGCCACATGATGTGATTGAAGAGGGGCTGGAGATAGACAGGCACGGAGCCTTTGGTCGTCTTGTCAGCGCGAGCCATATCGGTACTGCTGCGTGCGGTACGGTCGGGGGACGCTCTGAGTAGCGTGGCTGCCTTGTCTGTGTGTGGGGTGGCGTCGACTGGCCCGGACGCCGTGCTCGAACGCGAACCAGGCGACTCGGGAGTCTTGGACACGTTCTCGAAGCTGTGCGTAGAGCTGATGGATGTGCCATCGGACATGTCGAGGGCGTTGAAGGAGCTTTCGAGATCCTCGTGGTAGTCGTCCTCGTCCGACTCGCTATCCTCCATGGAGAGCAATGTGTCGGGTAGCAGGAAGTGCTCCACCTCTCCCCACGTCGTGTAGGCTTCGTCGACGCCTTCGAGCTGGACACGGCTCGCGGCTTCATTGGACGTGACTTCGTCGAGCCACTTGACGGCTTCGCGGGCGTCGGCGTGGATGCGCTCAGTGCCGTTCTTGAGGCGGTGGAGCTGGGTAAGGGCTTGTTGTGCGTTAGTCAAGGGGACAGGGAAGCTGCGATGCTATGGCCTACTGTGCAGCGGGACATAAAGACGTATAGCGTCCTGGGCGATCCACTTGCGGATGCCATCGCGGGTGCTCTTCTTGACGCCGGCGATCAGAGCGGTATCGTCGACGATGCAGTTGAATACCTTGCGCTTCGGTGGCTCGGGTGCGCGCGTGGCGGCCTCGGGCTTGCCAGGCCGCGAGGGGCAGGTACTGCGACGCATGATTATCGCCGATGTGCCTCGCAGCCGCGGGTAGTGAGGGTGTAGTAGCGATCGGCTATGGCGGTGCGCGGATGGGAGTAGTAGGCAGCTTGGTTGGTGAACCACGGTTCCGGCTGGAGCAGGGCTAAGTGCGGGTTTGTTGTTGGGCGCCAGTACGTGCCATGGGTGTCGACGCAGGATTTCAGGGTGTGCGCATTAGATTTGCGCTGGCCAGTCGAAGCGCGGGAGCGAGGTCATCAGTCTTGGGCATGGTGCAGAGGACCATAGTCGTTGGTGTCACTGTCACCGACACGGGCGTGTGAAGTTCGGGCCTGCATCACCGCACCATGATGCCCACGCCAAGTGGGGTGCGCCGCGCCACCCACCCAGCCACACCGGAACAACTGCACAGGAATGATATCTTGCATTTCATTCGCCTTGGTAGTCTGGCTCAGTAACTTTCTACCTCCCTGGCACTGCTCATATCTGGCATCCAGCCCTTGGGACGCTCGTTTCCACGCACAGTCAAACCATAGAGACCCTTCTCTACCTTGTCCACGCACTCGCGCATCACGGGCATCTTCTTCGTCTCCAACTCTGCTGCAAACTTGGACCCTCCCGGTGCGTCGAACATCTCGAGCTGCAGCCGGATCGCCCTCAGGTCATCCAAGACAGTCCGCGGCTTCTGGCTTTCATTCGCAACTGATGCTTCCTCGTCGATGTCCATCTTGTCGCCAGCATCGTCTTGGCCATTGCCTTGCTTCAGCCTTTTGTTCGCCTCTGCTTGCTTGCCAGACGGAAGTTTGCCGTTTGTCGCCATGCTCGTGACAGAGAAGCGCATCAGCTCGCCAGTCATATCGCAGACACCGAGAATGTAGTCTTCTGGCGTAAAGGAGATAGGTCCAGCTTCGCCGCTCATAGCAGCGATACGGGCCTTGGCTTCATTGTACGAGATCAGTGATTGTGTTTCAAGGTAATGCTGGAAGCTAAGCGCTTCCATGAACTCTTGATTGCCGCCCGTGATGTTGTGCGAGTAGCGGTAAGCATTCAGGCCTTGAAGGTCGGCGGCGATGTTCTTGTAGCGATCTTCAATCGTCTCCCAGTATTCCGCATTCTTCTTGGTGACCCATGGTGGTACTGCTTGGCCAACAGCGCGGACCCTTGTCAGGTCAGTGTGTGTTTGGTAAGGCCATCATGAAGACCTACCTCTGGAGAGTGAAGATGCTGCACAGTTGTTAGCAATCGGCCACAAGAACCTCGAACATTGCCTAGTACATCTTCTTGCTCGACGCGGTGATGTCACGCGACGCCTTGATGATTCTCTCTCGTCGATCATGGTGTTCATCCAGCTCTGCGCGGAAGCCTTCAAACATCGACACAAAGGGCGATGGAGATTGCTCTGGCTTCTCGTCCGCCATTGCTGCGTCTCTCGGTCGTTTGAGGCCCATGAATCTGCGTGGATGGTGAGCTTATACTCAACGTCAGGCAAACGCTGGGATTGTCCGCTAGTGCACGTCCTCACGTGGACGCTATCGCGTTTACGGACTAAGGCGCTTTCGGCTGCTCTCACTCCTGGAGAGTCCATCCTGTAGGGTTTCATCAACACACCACCCAGCGAAATCAGTTCCGATCCTCCTATCATCGGGTTCGCTTTTTTCAGCGTCTTGTCTGGTCAACTTGGCTTTTGTAATGCCGGAGACAACATGGCTCTTTTCTTTTTCTTTCGCAGTCCACCACTGGTCTTCACAACGTCAATCGTCCTAAGAGTTGTCTTCCTGTTATATGGACTCTGGCAGGATGCGAATTCACCTATGAAATACACCGACATTGACTATTATGTCTTCACGGATGCTGCGCGCTACATCTCGCGCGGCCAATCCCCTTACGCACGGGACACGTATCGTTATACGCCCCTCCTGGCGTGGCTCATCTACCCTACTGTATGGTCTGGGCAATTCTGGTTTTCTTTCGGAAAGGTCCTGTTCGCCATCGGCGATGTCGCTACAGGTTGGATGATGTTTCGTATTTTGAAACAGTACAAGAAGATGAGCAATGAGCGAGCCCTCAAATTTGCCAGCATTTGGCTGCTGAATCCAATGGTGGCCACTATCAGTACAAGAGGTAGCTCCGAGGGACTGCTTGGAGTATTCGTGACTGCATTGCTTTGGGCGGTGTTGGCAAAGCAAAGAGCACTTACTGGGTTCTTGCTCGGGTTCGCAGTGCACTTCAAAATCTACCCGTTCATCTACGCAGCCTCTATTGTCTGGTTCCTCGATGACACGCAAGTCGCAACAAGGGCAGATATCCGACAGCAACCATCGACTTCCTTGCTTGAGAGAACGCGCAACTTTCTCAATCCCATGAGAATATATTTCGCACTCTACAGTCTCCTTGCGTTTGCGAGCTTGAACCTGCTTATGTACAAGGTTTACGGATGGCCATTCCTCGAGCACAGTTACTTTTACCATCTGACTCGTACGGACCACCGCCACAACTTTTCGCCTTACAATACGCTCCTCTACCTGAAATCGTCCCCAACGCCTACGAACTTGGAGCCGACCACATTATCTTCCGGACTGGAGCGTTTGGCATTCCTTCCGCAACTGCTTCTCAGTGCTTTCTTTATACCACTAGCGCTAGCGAAGAAGGATCTTCCGAACACGATGTTAGCCCAGACGTTTGCCTTCGTTACCTTCAACAAGGTCTGCACAAGCCAGGTAAGCGATACGATGGATTGTCGGTCTTGCATGAATACTAACTCTGTCGAGTACTTCCTCTGGTACATGATGTTTCTCCCATACTACCTTCCAGATTCGACTCTCCTGCATTCAGCGCCCATTGGGATCACAGCACTTCTGCTCTGGCTTGTGGGCCAAGTTGCCTGGCTCCAGCAGGGCTTTCAACTTGAGTTCAACGGTTGTTCGACCTTTGTTCCCGGACTCTGGGCTTCGAGCATACTCTTTTTCCTCGTCAATGCTGGTATTCTTGGTGTCATCATCTACGACACTGAGCATAAGAAACCAGGGAGAAAGGCTGCCCCAGAGAAAAAACCTTCATAGCCCCATTTTTGCACGTCATCTTTACGCAAACACACATCAGCTCAACCCATATTCGGCTCCATCCACTGTGTAGCTTCCCCTCCGGTCGTAGACTTCATGTTTTCCGATGAATTCTCTCTATACCAGTCGTGCTTCTAATCACCTCCCTAGAGGTCGCCGTCCCTCATCTGCTGTTTTCTCTTCGCAATTTTCACACATGCCCATGTCACTGGCAGTCCCCTCTCAATGTAGGGCATGCTAGCCAATCCATACGAACCGCTATGTCGGTGCCAACCCAGCTGATGCTCGTCAAACTAGCTCAGTAGTTCCTCCATCGCTTTGTGTGGTTCCATGTCTTTCACTGCTCCGGCTGTCACCGTTCCAATTGCCAAACTGGACTATCCGACGACTCACGTGTTGTGGGGGCATCTTTTGCCACATTTCTTCTTTTGCGAGTTTTGGACATGGGTTTGTATGTGGACCTCTTGCGTAAAATGGAGAGTCTCTCGGCAGTCTTGCTCGATGGGCCTGTATCAGACGCAATAGCAGTGTTGTCGGGTTGAATTGAAACATTTTGGCTTGGTGGAGTAGAGTTGGCTAGCACATAACGAACACTGGCAGGGACAGGGTTGGGCGCGAGTTGACGGAGCTTCGGAGACATGCTGGGTTCATCGCTGCCGGAGTAAGCAGCGGTCGTCGGTCTCCTGCGCCTTTTCTAAGTTCTTCGGCACTGGAGAGTAGCAGGGTGAAAATTAGTGCTGTTAATTTAAATGTTAGTGTTCACATTAGCTTCTATTAGAAGGGAAGATTAACGCGCGAGAGATAACAAAGTTGCAGAGACCGACTCCGACTTAATGCAGCTAAGCCGTGCCTTCTGTGAGTGAAGCCGAGAGCTTGTCAGTCTCTTGCATAATATCTGTATGTCTTTAGGATAATTGAGGTTGGTAGGTAAAGTAGTGTCACAAAAGATAGAATAAGAAAGAAGCCATCGTGTCTACGACAGATACATGTATAGAGCAAACATAATAGTTCTAACTAGAACTAGTATCACTCTATATAACTTAGAATAGAAGGAAACTAACACATATTAAGCGAAAGACACATGCGCTAAGAATAGGAATTTTATCTTAACGTTCATGGCTATCTGATACATTGTTTAAAAACTTAGTGTAATGTGTCGTACACTTATTGTTTAGGAGCAGGAAAACTGCTGCCTAGTCACTTTTCTTTGCCCACATACAAGTCAGTAGACACATGGTGTAACGAACGTTGCTTAGATTCGATCTGAGCTTTATGTCAGCTCTAGGCTGCAAGTATTCGTCCTCATCCTTATTTACATGCACTGTGCTTATCATAAGTTAAATTCTGAGAAGGAGCTAAGCGCTGCTTCGCTATCATCCCATGCCCCATATGATTATTCTTCTCCAGCACATCTTCCACTGTAACCTTGCTCTGCATACCCTTCACCACTATGGCCTCATCTTCTTCCTTCTTGATTTTCTCCTCGCCCAAGTCTACGTTCTCACTTTCGACAACGGTGACACTAGCAACAGTACCCTCACACTCATCCATCTCCTTGATCCCATGGAGAACCTTATGCAAAAGACTACCCGGCGCCACTAGTTCCTGGCTGTAAGAGAAGCGTTCTGGATTCGGGACACCGTAGAGAATGAACTGTAGAACGCCTGTGCGCTCAGAATCTACTACAGCAGAAATCGGAAGGGTCCTGTCGCTCATGAGTGAAAAGGTTGTACTAGCTTTTGGTCGAAGCCATGACGGGAGGGAGTATGGCCATGGTTTAAAGGCTACTTCCTCCACACCCTCCTCTTTCTCTCTCTTACTATCCTTCATAGTCTCCTTCATGTCATTTTTTTGAGACGTGGATTCCAATACTGTAGGCATTGGCGTTACCATCCCGCTGCATAGCGGAAAAGAAAGGGGACGCGTTGAGCACGGGTGGAAAGTTGAGTAGGCGACTATGAAGCCGAAACCTTCTTCGGTTTCGGCGTTTGAAGCTTCAACAGCGTCGAGAGTATTTGGACGGAGACTGTCGAATCGCGACATGGGTTGGGCGCTAGGTGTTATGCGTTGACGCATTGTTCGTACAGAGAAGATCTTGCGGAACATTGTGGCGTTCTAATTGAATGATTTATGCCTGCTATTTCTAGAGGTTCTCGTACGGGTGGTTTATCGGAGTTGAGCAGAATGACTGATGAAAAGAGGAGTGAGTTGTACCGTTAGAAAGATCAAGCGTCGGCGGAAAAGGCTCCATCGGTAGTGGGCGAAGGGGATTTAATTTCCCTTGGTATAGACGACGTCGCACACAATACCCGCATAGCGTTGTCCAGACACGAGTGAAAAGTTTGAGGTAGGTATGCGTTAACAGTGTTTGGGCGCCGCTAGTGTTTGCCTCTCTAAAACCCGGCCGGATCGCGAAGTTCGAAACGTTCGAGATGGTGTGTTGCAGCTTTTACGTCTTTGTCGATTGAGCAAATGTTTGTGTCTGGATTGGTAATATTCTGCTCTTCTCTCATCGTCAGAGGTGGGCCCCTAAGGACCACGGTACAGAGATCTTGGTGTTGGCAACGAGTTTGACTCCCCATCAGGTCCGAACTGTGGAAGAAACTGGATACGTTGTCTTGCCGAGCAGATAGTGAATTAAATCGATGTTGTAAGGGATGTGTAGTGCGGAACTGGCGCTGCACTGCCCTAGGTAAAAAGGTTTATCTACTATTACCCACAATTTACAGAAGTAGAAACAAAGCTGGACGAAGAAAAGAAGATGAAGACCGAGACTGTCCAATGTGTACCAGGAAAAACGATGAGGGTATCCGAATTTCGCTCAAAACGCGTAGATCAACCAAGATGCAATGATGTGTGATATTCACAGAAGGAAATGTGCGACCATATCACTTCGCGTCGAATACATTAACGGGGGGAATTAGCGCGAATGGACCAAATTTGGGATGATCACAAGGAAAAAGGGCGAACTAAAGACTGGGGCTCAGTCACCATCCCACATGGGAGGTACCCACTCCTGTCCAGGATAACTAGTCGCCTTCATAGTGGGCTCGTCATCTTCCACGGCAGGCAGCTCAAATACCTGTCTGCTATTGCTGTGACTCCCACGTCTCTCCCAGGTTAAAGCTCCTCCGGTAGTGCTACCGCCAATGCTTCTCAGGCTGCCAACCTGCCCGCCACCAGACGCGCTGCGCTCAAGCTCTCTTGCTCTTGCTCTTGCAGCCTCGCGTTCCTGCCTATCGCGTTCATGTCTCTCGCGCTTCTCCTTTTCGCGCTGGACGCGTTCCATGTGGGCGAGATTCTCTTGCTGTAGGAGTTGGCGACGTAACGACTCCGCACCCATGTCTGGTGATGTGCGTTGAGGTGAAGCAGCCATTGAGGCGGGTTGTGGATGCTGCAGGATACCAATCGAGGGTTGACGTGGACGAGAATCTGGTTGTCTATCACGCGGTTCACCGTCTAGATCCGTTGTGATATTGAGCGGTCGAAGTCCTTCGGGGCGACTCTTATCTAAACCACTATTAGGCACACCAGGACCGTCATATGATGGTGGGGCTTCATTTTGAGCTTTCACATCATACTGGGATCCATTCCCGTGTGACGAGGTATAGACGTAGTTTGGCGACGATGGGCTATGAGAATGCGGCCGTTGACCCTCAAATGAAAAAGGCTGGGCGTTAGAAGGTCCGGGTCGCATAGGACTTTGGGCTATTTTTGGTGGTGGAGGTGGGGCAAATTCGCTTGCAATGAAATTCTGGGGACTATTGATCACCGTAGGGTCGGGAGACATGGGCAGAGGATACGCTGCGGGTGGCGGGGATTGTCCCGGATGTATCGGTGTTGGCTGTACAGGTGTCGCGTCGCGGCGGATAATGGGCTGAAGATTTTGACTTGATTGTGCTGCCTGCGAGGTCGCATAGGGCTGCGTGAAACTTCGCGGCAGAATTTCCCTGAATCCACCGCCGTGTGCTTGAGCATGTGGAGGTACAGTATTTAGCGTAGTCTGCTCGGGCGATAAATGAGGCGATGGTGATCCGGCAGCTCTCTCGTCCTGCTGTTGTTGTTGGGCGGTAAAGCGTTCTTGCATGTATTGTCCCTGTCGTGCTCGAACAATGTCTTGTTCGGTTGCTCCTGCTGGGAAGTCGAGATGCCATGGAAGATCCTGCTGATGGACTTCTGATATGCTGCTCATCCTTGGATTCTGGTACCGTTGGCTACTAGGGGCTGGAGAGTAGCTAGGCATTGCTGGAGAGTTTGATATTGGCGACACGAGGGACATTGTGCTAGCATCCGAGTGCATTCGACCGTTTGGAGGTACTTGTGAGTGTGCAGACACTTGCGGCGACACAGCCTGCATTATTGACTCCGAAAGCGGACGATTGTGTTGATCCACTGAAAGTTGCACGGGCGCATCCGTCTGACTGAGTGACAACGACTGCTGTTGCCGATCAAGCGGCGATACAAATGCCCCAGATACATGACTATACGCCGCAGGTATTGGAGGTGCGTCATAACTCGGCTCTTGCGTAGGGGACACTGCAGGTGGAGATATCGGCTCATCATCTTGAGAAGCAAAAAGAGGTCCTGAGCCGTGCGCATTGTGGTACGGAAGCTGAGGTTGATAGTCGTTCGGTTGCCACTCTACCAAAGATTGGTGTTGTTGCTGCTGACGCGGTCGTTGCACCCACGCATCGTCGTTCGGCCATGGCCTATTGTGCTCTGGTGCAGATCGCTCCTGTCGTAGTAGTTCCTCCCGTTGTGCTCGCCAGGTATGATGGGCAAGGTGGTCCTGGGATGTCTCGGGGTGTGCTTGTTGTTCTAGTTGTCGCTCATATTGATGGTCCCTCTGAACACTCTGCTCGTACTCAGACTGCTGTTTTTCGGGGGGTTGCTGCTGTCGCTCAGCCTGTGGGACCGTATAAACTCCTTGGTGAGCTGTTTGCGGTTGATTACGTTGATCTACCTGTCCCCGCGCGGCTAAAGAAGCTGCGTAGGCTCCACTCCCAGCTGGAGCTGGCTCAGCACGATGATTATAGTATCCTCCAGGAGGTGGATCCGAATCTTGATCTCGCGTGTGTGCAAGAGTGTTCTGGAATGGTGCACTATAGGGCTGTGCTTCAATCCCAGGCTTGGAAGCTTGGGATTGATTCAATTGTAAGCTGCTTTGCCGAGCTTGGTGTTCCATCGCTAGCTGCTTTGTTTTAAGGAATGCAGACGCTTCCTCTGAATGTAAACTAGAGATTGGCTCTCGTGATGACAGAACTTGCTGCGTTTGTTGCTGATACGGCTGAGGTAGCTTTTGAGGATGCATGTTGGGTGCTGGTTGCGATGGCCCAAGCTTTTGACCCAGGGGTGGCCTACTTTGTATGGTATGAGGCGGAAGTTGTCCGGGAGGATAGTATGCTAACCCAGACTGCTGTGGCTTATTCTGCTGATGCTGAGGTACTCTATGAGAGGCGCTGGGAGTAGCTGGAGTAGCGGTCGCCTGTATACTCTTCTGTGCCTTCTTTCCTTCTTTTGACATCTTGTATTTCATAGCCGATCCATCACCATTCACACCACCTCGAATGAACAGAGCGCCCAACGCAGAAAATCTCTTCTTCTTGCCAGATTCTGGTCTTTTCGAGTATGATACTTGATGGGCCTGGACTTGAACATTGGATATTGACGGTGGCTGCTGGGATGAAAAGTCGTTGGGAAGGTCGGATGCAATGCGCGTTCTCGAATCGACACGCGGTTCTACCGAGTGTACCTGTAACGAAGCCTGCCCAAACTCCGGTGGCTGCCCCATGTTTGGGCGACTATGCGGCAAGAAAGGATGTTGCTGGTCGATAAGCTTTTCTGCCGATGCCTCCCTAGGGCGCATAAATCTGTCCATTACAGAGTGAAGCGGAGTACCAGAACTAGGACCCGGCGGAAGTGGCTTGGACTGGGAGATTATGGCTGTATTGCCAGAGTTGGTCGTATGCTGGAGGTTCGCCTGTGTCTTACCACCAAAGCTCTTGAACATTGATGTAAGCCGAGGTTTCGAAGATGACTTCTCCTGGTTTCTTGATGTTTGCTCGGCAGGTTGAGACGAAGAATTGGCGGGTGGTCTAAACGCGGCAACTTGGTATTGCCCTTGCCTCTGCAACAATTGCTGTTGCAGTTCAAATTGATTTCTGGGTCCATGAGATTCCATCTGCCCTTGTGCGCGATTCGGGTTGCTCTGCGGCCCCGAAATTGCTGGCCTCTCTTGTTCTGCTAGCGGAACCCGACCCGAAGCTTGAGTGGCCTGTGGTAACTGACAGTTAAGATCAGGACTTCCGGAAACTGCTTGCTGGGAAGCTTGATGGCCCGCAGGACGCCAAGAACTGACGGTAATCTGAGTGGTTTTGTTACTGGGGTCGATTGACTTTACCGCTTGGAAGATATTCTTGGATGGAGATGGGCCAGATGCAAGCATTGGCTGGTGCCTCAATGCGCTCCGATCCGAGGGCGGTGCGACGTTTGCTAGCGGGTTCGGTGAGTACACTGTGTCCATATGTAGTGATTGCTGGGACTGATTACGATGCTGCATAGCGACAGGGGAAGATTGCGTTGCATTTGCAGATGCGGTCTGGTTGATCTGATCTTGAGGTTTGCCGTCTTGGTCTTCAGGTCCTGAGACGAAGCTCATTGGCCTTTCAAAACTGTATCTTGGGCGATCACCATCGCGAGATGATGGCGCTGTCGCAATACCGGAAGTTGAAGGCTGTGATGGCTGTTGTTGGGTAGTTGCCCCTCGCACCTGGAGATGTCCAAGTCGCAAAGGCTGGCCATGCTCGTCTTGCACATCCTTGACGACTCCGTTATGATCTGCGTAAAGATCAAAACCATCGTCGCCACCATACGACATCAAAATCTCCTCTGGAATCTGTGGTGGGACTGCCGAAGGCTTCACGGTGGACTCTGGCTGCATGCGACGAATTGTTGACGGGGTTGATCTTCCAGTAGATGTTTGAGAGTAAGGGTTGCTTCCCTCGTCAGAAACCATGGCAGATATCTGCGAGAGCATGGATCTTGACCGTTCTGGAGCCGCCGTAGCGCTATTTGAAACCTGCAGTTGCTGTGCTTGGTGCTTGAAGTCCGGAAAGCTGGCCTGGCCATGGGAGTGGCTGTTTGACATGGCGGGACGTGAATGCTCGCTGTACGGTTGTCCAGCCTTGGGTGTCTCCGGACCGTTCTGGGTGGTAATGCGCGGAACCTGCCCGGCGGGCGTGACGAGGTTGCTTTCGTCCCCCATCTCATCGGAAGCGCGCTCAGCCACGCGTGGATCAATGATGCTGTGTCCGCGGCCCCATGATGGACTAAGTGATCCAGAGGCGGTATGCTTTTCAGCGGCGTCGACAACTAAGGAGGGCGGCGCGGAGCGCGTCGAGGTGTCGCTGTCAGCCGCCGCAGCACTGGCCCCCGCAAGGGTATGGCTAAGCGAAGGCTCCCGGTCCCCATGTCTTCGTATTTCCTGCTGGGCTGGGGCTGCAATCGCGCCAACGGCCATTACTCGACTGCCTGCGTCCGCGTCGCGTTCTTCTCCAGATGTTGTCGCGCGGATTTCTGCGCTTCCATCTGCATTCCCAAGATCCCGAGTGCTTGTCGGAAGCTGCAAGTCGCTCTTAGCAAACCACACAGGACTGAAAGCGCGTTCCGCATCCGCCTTTTCATCTCTCGACATGCCCTCGTCGTCTTTGACATCAAAAGGCGCCTCGGATGCAGGTACACTAGCTTCGAGCGACGATACTCGCCAGACTTTGCCAGTACGAAAGGCATCATCAAGAAGACCGAGAGTAGGCGATTCAACATTAGATGCACGTTCTCCCTGGCGGATCGTTTGTTCTGCGCTGGCGAGCTCGTTGACTGTGTGGTGCTGCGGAACCGAAGCGCTGCCGTAAACAAACGTCTCGTGTCCGATGTCCAGGAACGAGTGTTCTGCAGACTCCTGGGCCCTTTCTTTCGAACCTAGGGTATTGAGAGGATCCATAGACGGCCATTCTATAGCAGCGACATTGTCTGGTGGCTGTCGCGCCAGCACAAAGGGTGTGTCTTCATACCTGATGACCCGGGCTCCACGCATTTGGTCATCGCGCTCGACATCCCCCACATCCCCGTTCTTATCTGATGTAATACTGGCAGATTTGCCCACAGGAGCTAGTACAGGGCTGACACTGTCAGATCCCTGTTTCGCATTCAGTGCTATCACTGGTGCCAAGCTTCTTCCACGAACAAGCTCCCTGTCGCTGTCTTCATCGCTCACATCCATGTGTCTGTTAGTGTACATAGGAGGCGGTTGCTGGCCATGTCGCAAGGATGTTGGTAATGGGTCGTGATTCAACTGTGGCGGTTGATCGTCATCATCGATGCGATGATCTCTGACCCTCTTTGGCGATTCGTCACTGAACCCGAATTGAAACCCATCGCGTCGGAGATCATCAGATTCTGCTGTAGGTAGGTCTGGTTGGAAAGATCCCTCTGGGGCACGAAGCATTGTCTTATAGTCATTCGCTCTTTCTTGCGCACCAGAGATGTTATTATCGTCAGCAAAAGCTGGGTGATAATCGAGGCTTTTTGGATCTCTCGTAATCGCTGCTGGCATCGAATGTCTATTCAGAACAATAGGAGGGGTTGAATGCCGAATAACAGATTGCAACATCCGATGGCTGGCACTGTCCTGACTAGACCTACGTCGATAATGCTTGATGGCAACCTCGTTTGGAATGGGGGGAACGGGCGGAACATAGTCTTCAGCGTCCTTGTCCTGGTTTGAAAAGGCACTCTTTGCTGGCGACGGCAATATGCCCAAATGCGCCTGCGAAGAGCTTCTTCGCATCGCTGTAGTATTGAAGTACTCGTTGAGAGCAGCCGGTGGAGTGCCGACCCAAGAGTCTGGAGCATGGAAAGAATGCGGCCGACGTTCCCCCATCAGGTAGTGATGGAGCTCGCGGGGAGGCGAGGTCTTAGATGTCGAGTCAAGGACGGATGGAGTAGTTTTCGGCAGCGCCACACTACTCGGTCTGGTTCTGGAGCGACTGGCACGCCGAAATTGGGACGAGAATGAAAATCGACGCTTCTTCTTCTCTTCGTTCGAGACTTCCCCCTTCTTTTCCTTTTCCGTCATGGAGCGTAGCAGTTGCACTCCTGACGATGCTCTCGATCTTCGTGTGACGAGCTCGGGCTCTTGAGAAGCTTCGCGCGAAGAAGGAGCAGAGTCGGCCCGGTTATACGAGGAGGTCTGAATCACGCATCACATCAGCAAACAACACCGTCGTAAGGAAGCTGAGCCGCCTCAGTCAGACTTGGCATTACGTTGAGATGATTATGAAGCTACAGGCGAGGACTACGATCGTAAATGGCGAAAGAATGAAAACGCCCAAAGCAAGGTCAGAAACGCCACATTCAATGTCCATACGAGTACATCCAATCACCCGCTGTAGTCCATGGACCAAGGAAAATGGTAGTCGTGACATACGATGAGAATGCCAAGCAAAGAAAATGGGTAGAAGAGATCATTTATCTACCTTTTCGCGGCCGAAACGGCTCTTGCCTTTCGCAAACAATCCCTTGGCACTGGTCATGCCTTTCCCTCCTAACACATTAGCAGTATGAAGCAAGTCCTTGCCTTTCAATTGCATCTGCTGATTTGCAATTCGTCCGCCAAATCCTGAACCAGATGATGCAGGATTAGTGGGAGAGCCTGAGCTCGCGGGGACTGGTACGCTAGCATTGTTATTTTGGTCGGCGCTCACGTCGTAGCTACTCGAACCACCAAGCTTGCCAAACAGTGCAAGAGAGCCAGTGTGCCTGTGACGTGCCGAGCTTGTAGGCACACGCTGTACTGGGTACGTCTGCGTAGCCAGCTCGGGGTTTGCTTCGAGCGCAGAGCGTAGCCAGTCATTAAGGCCATGATCAACTGTCGCCCAGTACTCGCGTGTCTTGTTGTAGGTGTCAATTCGCTCAGCAGCAGTGTTAAGCGTTGCTATTTCTCGAGCGCCCAGAGGCTTGTCCGTAATTGGCGACTTCGGCGAAGGCTCCTCCTGTACGGCAATGGGTGTTTTCGGCTCGTCGTCAGATGTTACGATTGCGGGATGTTCCGCAGGCTGCTCTATCCGTTGCTTCTCGTTCAAGCTGGATCCTCCGAGTCCCGAAGTCTGCTCATGCTCCGCACTGAAACGTGGTGGGAGATCCACGGCTTCGGGATTGAGCTCTGTGTTGACAACATGAAGTCCCGGGGAGCGTGTTTCTTCTCGAGCAGGGCTAGTTCCGGGGCGCGCAGTATCGACGGTTGGAGAAGCAGATCGTTGCGGCATATCACTGCTACTACTAGGGTCAGGTTTAGTAACCGTGAAAGTGTGCTCTGGGCCAAAGTACGAGTCCGGAAGGCCTTCTGACCACTCTTGTCGTTCTTGATCTGCAGCTCGTTCCACAGTGGGAAGGCGACTCTCCGTTGCCTGTGAGGCTTTTGTAGGCTCAACAGCGGCTACACCGTGCGCTTGCTGGTCTGGTGTTTGCGGTTGCGGGTTGCTTGCCTCCCAGCTAAATCGATTGAGTATCACAGGCTTGGTCGGTTCTTCCGATTGTGGGAGAAAAGACATGGCTGCATCGGATGGCTGATCTTGAGCATAGCGCTCAGTATCCTGCGAAGATCGACGAGAAGCCCGATCTTCATCTGCCCAGTAGGTATCATACTCACTGGGCAGAATAGAGCTAGCACGATTTGTGCCTGGGCTGGCGGGGTGGAGCGAGGCTTGATTAGACTCGCTGGCCGGCGACGCTGGAGCCTTGAAAGGGCTGAGACTGGCGACAATCTCCTTGCGAAGACGGTCACTTTCCTGGTCTTCAGCAGAAGGGTCAGTACTTAACTGAGGATCAAGACTCGGTCGTTTAGGCTGACTCTTGAAGGGCTGTGAGGGCCTCTCCTTCAAAGGCGGGGGTGGCGGAAATTCTGATTCCGGGGTGTCTTTCGCGGGGGGAGTTGGCGGCACGCTTGAGCCGGAAGTGCCAGTACGATCTAGCTGAAGAGGCCTTGGTAAATAGATATTTCCGTGGTCAGTACGACGTGCTTGCTGCTGTTGAGTCTCGGATGTTTGGTCATCGGCACCCAAGGTTGTGCGGATAGAATTGACCATTGCAGCTCCAGCATCTCTAAGAGCGGCGAGCGGATCCGGAGTGTCCGTCTCTGCCGACAATGCCCCGGCAAGTGGCTTCTTATCCGTTGTAGCCGTCAGATCGGATTTGTTGAGCGCACTCGGACCATTGTTCGCGAAACTTAATCGACGGTCTTGCTCGCCCAGATCCGAAGGTGTCATAGCGGTAGTAGCATAAGACTCCCACTGGCCTGGAAGATGGGGACGAAATTCTTTGACAGGACTGCTGGGTTTCGAAGGGCTAGCTTTCGTTGGAGACGCCGCACGTGAATTATCGTTGCTCCGTTCCCACGATTGAACACTGTTCCTCGAGCGATTGGACTGTGTAGAGCCACGTCTCGACGATGCCACCTCTCCAAATTTGCCAGCCAACGCCTGCACACGACCCTTGCTTGGAGACTCTGAGCGATCGCGCGGCAAGCCATCATCGAGAGGGCTTTGCGCGTTATGCGACTCGAGGAAGTTGTTCTGTGATTGAAGCTCTGAAGCGCCCAGTCCGGGTGCGCCATTGTCTGGACCATCCCTGACAGCAGTAGCAATATCAGCCTCGCGAGTAGCATATGCAGGGGATGGACCATTAAGGCCGCCTTCCATTGCGCCCGGAGTTTCGTTGCTTTCCATGGTAACAAGGGCGGAGGAGGGTTCGGGTACGTCTCTGCTCGGTGCTAAGATAGGGGATCGTGCAGGACTGTCACCGCGTGTGGGCGTAGCGAGGCCGCTGCGCGGTAGAGAAGAGTTGGAGAAGTTGCGATTGTGACCTGGGGACGGTTTTCGTGGAACGTGGTGTATGGGCTCGACGATCTTCGCAGAGGTTGGCTGGGTAACGGGCGTCGTGACTTCACTTGGTTCTTCTGCGATGGCGGGTGTGGTGCTTTCTGCTTGATCACGGTTTCTCAGTGCTGAGGCTGCTGAACTGGGCACGCGGCTCATGATTGGGCTGATTCCGGAAGTGCTTCCAGTATTGCTCCTCAGAAGGTCTGAAGTTGAATCGTTGTCGTTTGATATGGGCGTTGGCGGAACGGAACGCGATTCGTCAGCGCGAGTAAATGCCTGATCAACAACAGAGCGCAGACCCTTGTCATCCTGTGGTGACGCAAGGGATTGATTTTGCTGGGGTTGTTGTTTGTCGTGCGGGGCTGCTGCATCATAATCAGGCAGATACTCGCTCTTGCGCTCAGCGACGGTTTCCATAGGCTGCAGCGATCGCCCGCCTTCTTGAGGAGAGACCACGTTGTCCTGTATCGGAGAAGAAAGAGAGTCCAGGCTTGGTCGCGATGATTCCATTGACGCCCGCTCCCGCTCCTCTTGGTGCCGCTTGTATATGTCGGCTGGTCTGATGAAGGGTAGCGGCTTGTCAGATGCCTGACTGCCATTGCGTGATCGTGGCGAAGTAGACATTGGCATGTCTCCCTGGCCTATGCTACTCTTGCGCGGGGGAAACTGTGTGTTGAGCGGCGAGGTGAAATCGGCAGGGACCTGCGATATGCGAGTCTGGAGAGGCGGGGGTATGGCAGAGTAGCCCTGCTCATGCTCGTGGCCGTGTCCATGTTGGGGTTGCGGTATTGTTGAGGAGAAGGCGCGCTGTTCCTCGCCGTGCTCGAAGGAATTTCTTCGGGGTCGTGGGAGGGGCGCCTGCTGGGAGGGGTCGGTGAAGCTGCGCGATGGTTGCTCCGTCCGCTGGGCATAGTAACGCTGCGCCAGAGGCTGTGGCTGCTCGGGCTCCTGGTTGACGCCGTATTCGTCGTACTCGTCGTAGCCGCCCCAATCGTCGCCGTCGTAGGCGTTCTTCTTCGCCTGTACCCATTTCTTCGTTTTGGCACGGTTGACATTGGTCTTGAACGACACAGGCTGGCCGGCGGAGAAGGGCGACGCGGTCCGATCGCTAACACGAGTCAGTTCAGGACAGCAGGCGACATGCGCGTGCAGAGGCGGTACGTACAGCGGCGACCTGGCTTCCTCTTGCTGGAAGCGGAAGGGGCCAGACATGATGGCGTAGGAGGGTCCGGAGATGGCTAGGATGCACCGCTCTCGCTCTACTAGGGCCGAGCCCAACGCCAGCTATGTCCTGCAGCGCATGCAACCGGGAGACACGAGGGGCAGCCTGCCGAGATGGAGTCTGCGACAACGGTGGGGGCCGGGGGAGCGAGGCAGTGGTGGTGCAGGTGGCCGGAGTGGTGATAGACAGCGTGGCTGGAGCCGGGCGGGAGGGTTGATGAGGGCTCGACCAAGCTTCCGGGGGATACGTCACCTGCCTGCGCGTGCGAAAGGCCCGACGTGATCACGACAACGGCGCACTCGACGGGAGCAGCTGGGCAGGCGAGGATGGGCGCAGAGGACGCGGTGGAGGAGTAAGGAGAGCTAGCGATCAACTCCCCTTGATGCAGCTGCTCCGCGCGGTCTGACGGGTCTACGGCCAGTATAGCGCGCCGTGGAGGTGTGGCGCAGGGCGTCCAAGTTTGGCCGACGCGGAACTAACTACGTTTCCCCATTCCCCATTTCACCCCGACCCTCAACACATTCCGCTTTTCTCTGCCCGACTCGCCAGGAACACGCCGCTTCCGATTCACCGCCGCGCACGACTGCATCCCGCGTCTCTCGTCACTCCTGCAGGCCAAACCCCGCCGCCGCCGCCAGCTCTCGCACGCCCCGTCTACGAACCGCGTGTCGCGCGCCATCACCTCACAATTGCATCTCGCCCGTGGCTGCCCTGGATCCTCGAGCAAACGGGGCCTGAGCAAATCCGCGACTGCACACAAATCTGCCACCCGCCTCGGCGCAACTTCCACGTCGCCTGTGCATCCGCAGCGCCTGCTGTCCTGCCCACAGGTGGTGCGCCTCCCCTTTTCCGCCCTCGCCCTCCCTCCCACCACAACGAATCGTCAACATGGCTGTGTCGATACAGGACCGCACCGACGAGTTCCGCTCGATTCTTGCACAGGCTCGTCGGCGGCAAGCGCAATCCAAGACGGGCGCGCAACGGCAGTCGCTCCTCACAGCACAAGAGAAGACACAGGCAGATGCCAACCCCCGGCGTCAGCGCTCTGAATTTGCGCGCAATGCGGCCGACGTCGCGCGGGGTGTTGCGAGCACCATGCAGAAGCTCGAGCGCCTTTCACAGCTGGCCAAGCGCAAGACGCTGTTTGACGATCGGCCAGTTGAGTTTGACGAGCTCACCTTTGTCATCAAGCAGGACATGACTGCACTGTCAGGCCAGGTGCGGGCACTGCAGCAGATGAACTCGAAGCAACACCCCAAGGCGAAACCCGGTGTGGACCAAGAAGGAGAGCACAACGGCCAAGTCGTCAAGCTGTTGTCCGACAAACTAACCAACGTGGGGACCAACTTCAAGGACGTTTTGGAGGTGCGAACAAAGAACATGCAGGCATCGCGATCCCGCACGGAGCAATTCCTGTCAACAGCTGCGCAGCAATCCCACAGCAACCTCGAGCCAGGCCGGACAGATTCTCCACTTTACCAAACACCCCAGCGAGGTCGATCACCAGGAGGCTTCGCCCGGAATACCAATGCAGCGCAGCAAGACCTGCTCTCGCTCGAACCTTCTGGGTCGTCAGCTCTGACGCGAGGCGCACCGCAATCGGACGCACAACTACTGCTCATGGAAGAGGCCCAGCCCCAGAACGCATACATTCAAGAGAGGGGGCGAGCAATTGAGTCGATAGAGTCTACTATTCAAGAACTAGGAGGCATCTTCAGCCAGCTCGCCCAGATGGTGTCCGAACAAGGAGAACAGATCCAGCGCATTGACGCCAACACCGAAGACGTTGTAGACAACGTCGAGGGTGCCCAGCGTGAGCTGATGAAGTACTGGAGCCGCGTGCAAGGCAACAGGTGGCTTGTCGCAAAGATGTTTGGTGTGCTGATGATTTGTACGTATACCCGCACACTCGTACATTGACAACATACTAACAAGTCTTAGTTTTCTTGCTCTGGGTCCTTATCTCTGGGTAGATTTGCGCTTCATGGCTACGGCATTTTCAGGCGTTTCTACCAGCTCGGTCTGGCATCGAACTGGACGAGCAGCCATTGCATACGAGGCTGCGCACTTCTCACATGTATCTATATATATTTCTTTTGTCGCATGTTTCACTTTTGGGCCTGGCTTATGATCACCATTACGTCATATGAGCGAGCCGTTATAAGCTACTATTAATGAATTCAACCCGTCTTTTCACTTGCGACATCAGGACGATTTGCTGGGTGTGGAAGGCTTCCCGGTAGCTCGGTCCATGTCTGTTGTGTACTGTACCATATTTGCTTGCGTGCCTTGGCTGCATATGTACAACATGCGATTTGGTAGTCGCTTAGGACAGTAGAGTAGTGCCCATCACGAAGCTTGCAATACAAATGCGTGTACTCTGGGTCAAATTCGTACACTCAGGTGGAGCATGCGCCAACGACCACCACCTGCGTCATCAAGGCGGCGGTGTGATCGACGACTACAGGCTGAAACCAAATTGGACAGTTGTGCGTATCCGACCGCTTCTTATTCTCGATAGCCCCTGCGCAGTATCACCAACGTCGCAACCGAATTATCATCTTCACATGCTCCAGGATGACCCCGACACGGACGGCTACCACCTAGGTGGAACATCAGAACATCGGAAATCATGGCAACTAAGCGGCAATGCCGAAGCTATCCTCCAACCACCTAGTGGGCTCCCGGCACAGTATTCCGGCTACACCACTACGAGTCGTAGATGGAGAACTGACAGGCGCCGAACTATGCACGTCACCGCCATGACAGCCGAAGTGATATCAACGGTACTTAGCTCGTCACTAAGCGGGCCTGATTGGCGGCGCGAAACATGTAACGTGCGACATGACGAAAAGGACGGCGCAACGTCGGTCGGATAGCCGCGTTCGACGGGCGCGCGCAAACTCATTAGCGGGCCATGGACAGATGTCATATCGGTGTTTGGTGGGTGGGATGGCTTGCAGGCGACATGCTGAATGCAGCATCAGCAGATGATCCACCTGCTGCAGAGTGGGCGTGTGGGCGCCCGTCTTCCATGCTCTAGCGCCCACTCCTTCCATCCGTATGTGAACCACACTTCCAAGGTTCTCACACCGTCGTGCGTCCTCGACACCTGACCCGCCCTCTGTTTGCTGCACCCCTCTGTTAGTCGCCCAAGCTTGTGTGCCGCCCTCCCAACGGTGCCGCCTGTCCTGCGCAAGAAGAGACTACCCTTGCGCCGCTCGCATGTCTTGGTAGCGACCTCTTGACATCAGTCAACAGCCAAGTGCATGCGCGCTCCGGCGCAATGCCTGACCGTATATGGGACGAAACCGTTGCGCTCGGCACGGCTCCCATATTCGACGATGCTATATATCTGGCCGAAGCCTTGGGTCTGCCTATGAATCAGAATGAGGACCATCTCGACGCCGAGGTGGCGCTGCTTGCTCGCGAATCTGGTGTCCCCGATTCTTATCGTTTCGTACCCCCGCCAGAAACCATCTCTCGCGCAATCTCGACTATGACGCTGGATAGCGATCAGAGAAGTTCCAGATCAATTCACTCTCAAGAAACGCAGTCAACAAGCTTCACATCCGCGCCTTCCCGAACTTCCAGAGACCTCATTTTCTCCACTGACGGCTCAACCACAAGAAGGGCACCTCCAGCACGCTCACAGATTACGTCACCTGTTGAGAAGTCTCGAGACTTTGTTGACCGTCCCGAATCTGATTTCCAGTCAAGACAATCATCGACACTGTCCATCACACCTTCCGCCATCTCCAGCTCAGCCTCGTCACAGCAAGCGCAACCAAGGAAGAAACGGGGCTCCGTCATTTTCTCCATGTTCAGAAGGGATTCAGGGTACGTTATGGACAGTGACTTATGACAGCTTCCTACTAAGTCTTTTTAGTAGTACTTGCACCACGTCCGCGCCGCACCACGGATATCACAGCAGGCCTCGAGGCGCAAAGCTGGTATGCGGTCACATATCGTCTGACGCCGACGTTCGCGCACATATACAAGAGTCATTAAAGAGAGGCGCACACGTAGCGCCCGATTGCTGTGGAAGCGCATTACCGCAATCCATTCTGGAGCGCGTCCCAGCAAAAGACGACCCGAGGCTCGCTATGGAGACTGCTACCGAGCTGCCTGAGCCTCTTTCCCGTGACTCTGACTATTGCGAAATTGTTACCTCAACTGCTGACAGTTCCCATCCCATAATTGACTCTCTAGTTTCAGACATTTCCTCCGCTTTGCCACAATCTCCAATGAGGCGCACCCGACACGAGGCGATCAGCATCGGCTTGGCGTTAGCTAAAGAGGCTTTCGCAAGTTACAGGACACAACAGAAGGAAGAGCTTGCACGTGTCTCGCTGTTCGAGTGCAGCCAAAGAAAAGCCTTGTCAGCGTACCAATATTGTTCAATGCAACAATTGGGAGAACAGCTTGAGATTGATAAGAACGAACGGATCGGACAGGTAGGTATAATTCGTGTTGATGTGATATACGTCAGCTGACTCAAGCGATGTAGCACAATGAGGACCTGGAGCGATTAGAAGAACGACAACTTCTCGCTGAACACGACCTGTTGAAAGCACAAGCTCAAGAGACACAGAACGTAGCGACAGCCCTAAAGTATATTGAGGCGTATTGCCTACGTACGAGAAGCAACCAAGAGCGTGTGCATGCTGTGTCGGAGGAAGACTTGAAGAAGCTGGACCACCAAAGATTGATCCAACAGGATCTTCCCAGACGACACGCGAGTGCAATCAACGTCTTACGAGCAAGGCAAGAGATGGACACCGCACGAAGACTAGAAGCACAAGAAGCAGAGCTACAGCAATTAGGCATTGAGCACGAGAAAAGGAAGTTTGCAAAAGAAGCGGAATATCACAAGGAGCTGGCAAGGCTTGAAACCGTTATCGAATTAAGAAGAAAGAGGCTTCTACAAAGGTGGGATCTCAGGTTTGAAATATGGCGACGTGACTGGGAAGCGCAGCACGACACGACTCTGACGGTAGAACTCGAACACGAAGACTGGCCACCTCGCAAAGCAGATCACACGATTTCCATACCTGAAGCAAGTTTGCTAGCTCAGTACATCAAGGCTGCGGCATGATGCGACGGCCTTGGCTGCTCTTGATTTCTGAAACATCGCACCTCCCGTCTGTGCGATATCTGTTCGTCCCATTGACATCGATTTGGGCAGCACCACCATTTTCGTCAGCATCTTACAGCGTAGCGAGGCGTTTACTTGAACACAAATGCTCAGACGCACAGTCATTCTCCATCCTTTGCGGCATCGGCGGGTTTCCATCTTCGCGACTTTATACCCTTTTTGTACCTTTGCAAAGACGCATTTTCTTCACACGGTTTTTAGATGTTGTTAAAACGGGAAATGCTCCGCTTATATGTAACAGACCAATCTTGTTTGATTGGATAACTAGTTATACGTTATATTGTAATGAGATAGTTTACAATGAAGTCTGCAGCCACTGAACCCACCGTCTCTGGAAAGCCAAAATATAAATGTAACGATACTCCCATAGATCTGGTCTGACCCAGGCGCCCACACTAGAATAAGGTCTCTGCTAATACAATCTCGTCGACTAGTGAACCATAGCTTTGGGCGTGAAGAAAAGGTGTGGCAGACTAGGACTAGCAGCCCGATCGCCTGGATCCTACGGAGCTTTTCCCCGCCCCTACGGCGATCGAGTAGCGACCGAACGCCGTTCGCTAGAATCGACGGCTTGGCATGATTGACAGGCCGAATGGGGAAGTTTGCGATCTGGGGTTCATGGCAGGAGTATCGGACGCTCCCGTATTTGACATGATTTAATTACTATTTGGGTATCTTGCTAACTCGTGAAACTCGTGAAAACATCATTGACGGCCATCACATCGGGCATGGGAAAACCTCCACCAACTTCCACAGACGATTGCATTCGGCAGCTCTGACAGGCATCGCTGTCTCAGCCACGAGAGAGATCGCTGTTGTACTGCTCAACGGGGGCTAGCATGTCCCATTGTAAACTCTCTTGGGCGTCCGTGGCTGGTGGCAGGTGACCCAACCCCATCGCCATGTCCATCTCAGCGTCATCCTTTATGAGTGAGAGCTGGTCGAATTGCTGATCGAATAAAGCATTTTGCCCATCCATGCTCTTCAAGTCAGAATATGGTAGCATCGGCATGTTGCTCTCCATGAGGTATGGAGCAGGCGTCTCTGGGATGCTGGGCGTAGCAGAGTCGAACATGCTCATTGAGTCGTCGAACCCACCAATCCAGAACTGCCCTCCACTGACAGCATCGCGCTCCTGTATCATGTCTTCGATCTCGTCCTCGGGAATATAATGCTCTGCGAGCAGATGACGGCGTAAATCACGGTCCATGTAGAAGCGGTACTCGCACGTCTTCACCAAACAGGGCACCTCGCGGCCTTGCTCATAGCCAACACCGGTAAGCATGGTAAGCATCGAAGGCTCCGGCTTCTTCTTTGACTTTGCGGCCTTCCGGAGCTGCTTGCGGTTGCCGAGACCAAGATGATTTTTCCGAACATGCTGATCGAGAGACGACTTGGCCTTGAAGGAGGCGCCACAGGCATTCTCTCCGTTCCAGGCTTGGAGATCTGGGTGTTTTGAATTCTGCAGAGCATCGGGGGTACATGAGTACCTGAACTGCTTGTCGTGGACCGTCTGAATGTGAACAGTGAGGTTGTGTTTCCGATTGAAGACACTCTCACAGCCTAGTCTGGGACAAGCGAACTGCGTTTGTTCTTGTGGGTGCCCATGGACGGTGTCGAAGTGTGTCTTGAGATTGGATGCAGTCTTGAACTTCTGACCGCACTGTGTACATACAGGTGGGTGACACTCGGCTGTGTGCACGTTCAGCTCGTCTTTTGTCGCGAAAGACGGTAAGTGTGGCGGGATGGTGAATGTGTCAACAGACTCGCTCTGCATTGTGTCCGCGTCTACTCCAGCCGTCGCACACAGCATGCAGAAGTGGCCCTGCCCTTGTATGTCTGCATGTGTCTTGCCCATATGCCGTTGTAATGCGCCCTCAGTCTGAAAGCCACTCGCGCATTTCTCGCCGCTCTCTTGATCCACGTGAGAACAAGTGAAGGGCTTGACGTCCATGTGCTGGATCTTGACGTGTGCCTCCAACGCCTTCGCCTTCCTAAAAGCCTCGTTGCACGGGGGGAAGTCGGTACAGTAGAATTTGGATTCGTGGACGTCTCTGTGCCTCTGGAGCCTGCCGTTGGAGGTGAAACTCTTGCCACACCCGGTCCAATCGCATGTGAATGTCCGCTCGGTCGCAGGGTCGCGATGGGCGTTCTTGAGGTGACGCTGTAAGTGGTCTTTACGAGGGAACGTCTTGTTGCAGCCGGGCTCGGTACAGATAAATGGTCGCTCCTTGTTGTGGCTTCGCATGTGTGTCTCGAGGCGACATGGTCGGTTGAAGCGTTGCGAGCAGGTTGGGCAGACGTAGTTCCATTGGCGACGGGCCTCGCTCTCTGCCCTCAAAGTGCCGTTGTCGGTGAAATTGACCTTGTAATCAGCAGAGTCGTCTGTCGCATAGTCCTGGTCGGGTGTGTCCTCCGCAACACCTCCGAGAATGTTAGCCTTCAGGATCGACGTCACGGTGCTCGGGGTTACGGTACTGTTGCGAGACCTCTTCTGTGGCGCCACACCAGCGTCTTCGGTGTTTCTCCGCTTCGGCGCCATAGTATTGCATACAACGTGCGCGTGGTTGCAAGGCGGCTCGTGGATGCGCAGAACCATGGACGAAAGTCGAGCTCCACTGTATTTTGCGACCGCCAAGATTTCCCACGCTAGTGCAGACGCCGACCCCTGCGATTTCTGATCGCGAACTTTCTTTGCCAGTCGCATCGCACCAGGCATACACCCCATACTCCACGCGTACCTCTCCATCTCTCGGCATCCCTTCCTCAGACACGCACGCGCGTAGAAACTTGCTGCAAACATGTCCGACTATGGCGGTGACGACTACGACGGCGGCGCCGGTGACATGTACGTTCAGCTCCATCTCTGGGTTTCCTCCACCGGGCGCATCAGCTAGGGGAACGGTAGGAGACAGTCCCGCCGATTCTAACTTCAGTAGTGACGAGCCCCTCATCGAGTTCGACGAAGAGGCCGAGCCTGATCTGATGGACGACGAAGACGACCAGCCTGGCGGCGGTGAAGACCCAGACAATGCCGAACCCAACGACGACAACGTAGTAGTATCTGGCGATGCCAACGCGGCAGCTGCTGCCAAGGAAGCCTCCAAGAACACAGTCACAAGCGAAAAGGACAAGAAGGTTCCGAACGACAAGCGCACAACCACCCCATACATGACAAAGTACGAGAAGGCACGCGTCTTGGGCACAAGAGCACTTCAGATCAGGTAGACTACCTTCAGAGGGAGGTTGCATGTACAAGGACTAATGAGATTGCAGTGGTAACGCTCCCGTGCTGATCGACGTAGAGGGAATGACGGACCCTCTGCAAATTGCTGCGAAAGAGCTCCAAGAGAAGAAGATTCCCCTTGTTGTACGGCGGTACCTCCCCGATGGTTTCTACGAGGACTGGACTTGCGAAGAGCTTCTGACATGAAGCGTGGTGTGGCTGATTGCATTTGCTATGGAGTTTTGTTTGGCTAAATATGGGGTATTTCGGCGAAAGGAGTCTCTGAGTGGTTGCGCAATTATATCCCGAGTCTCACCCGATCTCCGTTAATTCCAAGCCTTGTCCGTTGCCTGTGCGGATCCGCGGATAAGATTTCTGTAACAAGCCAAAAGTCTAGAGGGAGGTGGGGTAGCTCGACATAGCTATTCGTCCCCCGCACTAATTTCAGGCACAACGTCACTCAATGCGCCTGCTCACAAAACTTCCAAGGGCCCCTCGACCTGCGTTTGCATTCCAACCTCCTACTGTTCGTTTTTCTCGCTATACCACATTGTCCAAGATGTCTTTCGAAACCACAGGCACCATCGCATCCTTCGGCGGCAAGCTTCTCAAGTTGAAGCACAAGTCCTCAAGCACAAACACCGACATGGAGCTGAACGTGTTCCTGCCTCCACAAGCACTCAAGTCCGGCGCCAAGGTCCCAGTTCTCTTCTACCTTTCCGGCCTCACATGCACCGGCAATAACTGCTCAGAAAAGGGTTTTTTCCAGCACGGCGCAGCCAAACATGGCATCGCTGTCGTGTACCCTGATACTTCACCGAGTGCGTGCCTACCGTGAGACTATACGCGGAGCATTTGACTAACCCACTCACTAGGGGGCTTACAGATCGAAGGTGAAGACGAGTCATACGACTTCGGGTCAGGCGCAGGTTTCTACGTCGATGCCACCAAGGAGCCATGGTCAAAGGGCTACAACATGTACTCATACATCACCAAAGAGCTCCCCGAAGCGCTGTTCTCGTCTTTCAAAGAGCTAGATTCCAGCAAAGTCAGCATCACAGGGCACAGCATGGGTGGACACGGCGCATTGACACTGGTTGGTCAGCTGCTTGCATACCAGGAGGACTAGACTGACCACCATCGATAGTTCCTCAAGAACCCCGGCATGTACAAGTCTGTCTCTGCATTCGCACCCATCGCCAACCCCATCAACTGCCCATGGGGCCAAAAAGCTTTCAAGGGATACTTTGGCGAGGACCAGCAACAAAAGTGGAAGGAGCATGATGCGTCAGAGCTGGTCAAGCAATGGAAGGGTCCTCTTGAGATGCTCATCGATGTGGTGCGTATCATATGCGACAGTCTTGTGTCGTTTTACTAACTGAGCTAGGGCACTGGAGACAACTTCTATAAGCAAGGCCAGCTTCTACCGGAGAACTTCGTCAAGGCAGCCAAGGAAGCTGGCAATGACAAGGGCATTCAACTGCGCATGCAGCCCGATTACGATCACAGCTACTACTTCATGGCCACATTTGCTGACGATCACGTCGAGTGGGCGGCGAAGCATCTAGGCGCATAGTAAGTAGACGTGACACCGATTGTAATAGCAGTCTGCTCACTACTACAGAAGCGGCTCGTGTATCAGAGAGAAACTATAGAACCTAATAGAATCCGTACACATCTGGAAAGACTTGACTACTCATTCGTGATTTATTGGGTTGATCAACTTTTTGCACGTGAACACCGAATTGTATCTCAGCTCTTGCCGCCGTGAATTCGCTATAGAGTGCGGGCTTCAAATGTATAAGCATGATAGAGGGACGACTGCGTTGCTGGCCCTCCTTCTGGGGGCTCTCATACTCGACGGGCACCTGGTCGTTGTCTGAAAGCAGCGTAAATGACGATTAAATCTCCAGCAATGCGCGTGGCGGTGTCGAAACCAAAATCTCGTGCGCACGTGTCACACGGTCAAATTGGGCGCGAGAACATCCCACCAGGCCCGGGCTTGGCGCTGCCACTTCAGTCATTGCACAGCTGTTTTCGGCCTCGACGCCTCGACGAAGACGGAGAACAACTTTTGCTTTTTCCAGTCGGTACCCTAATCGCCTGGCACATAGACCCTGAGCTCTGGTCATTGTTTCTTTCACGCACGAACCCTTGCACACGCCGTACGTCAGCCCCTCGTGCCCCGCCTCTGCCTACACCGCTGTAACGCTTTCGTGATGCAGTCTTCCACAGTTTGCTCCATGGTCCGGTAGCATACCAATCCGCTCATAGTTCCTACCCCACCACGTCCGATGTACAATCTATAGGGCAGACCACACCGACTCAACCTGTGACTCAACCCTGCTTGCTCAGCTTTGACAACACGAGGAAATGGAGGCCCAGGTACGTGCCATTGTTTGCCCGATCCATGAAGCATATACTCACACTCCATGTCAAAGGTCGAAAATGCCATCCAGATCGCCGCAAATCCGACGTCGAGCCAGGAGCTGCGCGGTCAGGCTATCGAATACCTGAACCAGCTCCGTGCCGAAGGCTCCGCATGGCAAGCTGCCCTCACACTCTTCGCGCGCGACCCTCGTCCCACCGACTTTGTCCGCCATACGTCGCTCGACCTTGTGAACAACGCGATCCAAGAACATCGCCTCGATGAGCAGAGTCTTGCGTACATCAAGGATACCCTCATGGGCCATATCCACCGATCCTACGTCCCGGGCAGTGGAGCTGCAGACACAAGCCATATCCAGAACAAGCTGATGCAGACTGTCACTTATCTCTTCGTAGCTCTATACCCTTCCTCATGGCAGTCCTTCTTCGACGATTTCCGTGCCTTGGCTGGCGACCAGTCTACCATCGGAAACGTCAATACAGCCACGACGTTGCTATACCTTCGCATGCTCGGTCAAGTGCACGACGAAATCGCTGACCAGTTGGTCGCCCGCCCAGAGGACGAGAAGAAGCGCAACACAGAGCTGAAAGACCTCATCCGGCAACGGGACGCGCAGAAGATCTCGTTATCTTGGCAAGAAATACTCGCGAAGTGGAGGGAGACAGACCTGAATCTTGTGAAGATGTGCCTGGAGACTATCGGGCGCTGGGTTAGTTGGACCGACATCAACTTGATTGTCAACCAAGCCATGATCACAACTTTCCTGGAAATGGCGGGCCAACAAGGAATCGCTGATCCCGAGAGCGCTGCTGGAAAGGTGCGCGATGCGGCAATCGATACATTCTCAGAGATCGTCGGGAAGAAGATGAGCCCATCGGATAAGATTGAATTAATCACTTTCCTAAATCTTTCCGAAGTCGTCGGCCAGCTGATCAGCAGCCCAGCTCTGGCCGATTTCAACAGCTCGAACTACGACAACGACCTTGCCGAGACTGTCGCTAAGCTCGTGAACAACATCGTATTCGATATCGTAAAGATACTAGAGAACGAGGCTGTCGAGGAGCATGTTCGGCAACGCGCAGACGATCTCATTCGCATCTTCACGCCTTACCTTTTACGTTTCTTCGCTGACCAATACGACGAGGTCTGCTCGACTGTCATCCCATCTCTTACAGATCTCCTTACGTTCCTCCGCAAATTGCAAAAGAAGTCTGGATCGATACCTCCACAATACGCCGCAGTATTACCACCCGTTCTAGATGCGATCATTGCAAAAATGAAGTACGACGAGACAGCCTCATGGGGTGAGGAAGGCGAACAGACAGACGAAGCAGAGTTCCTCGATCTCCGCAGACGCCTCCACGTCCTGCAACAAACAGTAACCGCCATCGACGAGCCTTACTACATCGAGACACTCAGTCGCTTAGTCAACGGAACCTTTGGACGCCTATCTCAAGGCGATCAATCCCTGAACTGGCGCGACCTCGAATTGGCTCTGTATGAGATGTATCTATTTGGAGAACTTGCAGTCAGAAACCAGGGACTGTATGCGAAACGCGAGCCCTCATCGGCTGCAGCTCAGCAACTCGTGAATATGATGAACAGCATGGTCGAATCTGGTCTAGCAAACTACCCGCACCCTGCTGTTCAGCTGCAGTATATGGAGATATGCGTACGCTACTATCAGTTCTTCGAGCAGAATCCTGGCCTCATCCCCAAGGTACTTGAGAATTTTGTCAACCTTACCCATAGCAACCATGTCAAGGTCCGCTCGCGATCCTGGTATCTCTTCCAACGCTTAGTCAAGCATCTGCGGGCCCAACTGGGCAACGTCTCCTACGACATCATTCAAGCGGTTGGAGACTTGCTTGCCATCAAAGCTGAGCTACCAGATACTTCAGAAGATGAGATGTCGTCCGATGAAGAGGATCAGTCGGCGGATGCGCTGTTCGACTCGCAGCTGTACCTTTTCGAAGCCGTGGGCTGCATCGCTTCGTCCAACACCGTCTCCGCGGAGAACAAGAGACTCTACGCGCAGACCATCATGAGCCCTCTGTTCTCAGACATGCAACAGACTCTTCCCCAGGCGAGGAATGGTGATGAGCGGGCTATACTCCAAATTCACCATATCATCATGGCCATAGGTACGCTAGCTCGAGGCTACTCAGACTGGGTACCGTCAAACAACAACAGCGTCGCGCCCCAGAGTGAGGTGGCGGATGAGTTCGTCAAAGCATCTGAGGCTATCCTCGTCGCCGTTGAATCACTGAACTCATCTGGCTCCATTCGACACGCTGCAAGATTCGCTTTCTCGCGCATGATTGCCGTATTAGGCTCGCGTCTGCTACAACAGCTGCCATCCTGGATCGAAGGACTCCTTTCTTTGAGTTCTTCCATGGACGAGATCAGTACCTTCCTCAAAGTGCTTGGTCAGGTCGTCTTCACCTTCAAGTCAGAGATCGCTGGCATTCTAGATACCGTCATGAGTCCAGTCTTGCAACGCATATTTACCGCACTAGCTGTAGTTCCTTCGGGTACAGATGACGAGATTCAACTAGCTGAGCTCCGTCGAGAGTATCTGAACTTCATCGTCGTTGTTCTCAACCAAGGTCTTGGGTCTGTGTTCGTCAGCAATGGTAAGTCGACAACATCATATATAGACTTGACACTGCTAATGTTCCGCAGTGAATCAAGCGACATTCGAGCCCATAATTTCTTCGATCGAAACGTTCGCTCGCGACACACACGACTACCCTACCGCGCGCCTTGCAATCTTTGTGCTTATCCGCATGATCACGGTGTGGGGCGGACCCGACAAAGTCGGGCCTGGCGCGAACGCAACACCCACATCTCCCGACACTGCTCAAGCACCATTGCCGGGTTTCGACAACTACGTGGTAGATAAGTTTTCTCCGTTGGCATGGTCAATTCCGGCTTCGCCGGGCTTCAACTCGAAAGACGCGCAGGCAAAGCAAGTCCTTTTTGAGGCCGCCAATCTGCAGCACGAGATCATTAAGAAGGTTGGCGAACCGTATGTGGAGCGACTCAAGAGCGATCTCGGTGGCATGGGAGTGGGCGACGACGGCGCGGACCAATACCTGCGCACCCTCGCCGGCTCGTTTGAGGGACCGAAGAAAGAAAAAGAATGGCGCAACTTCTACGTTCAATTCGTGGATCGCATGCTTGCAAGCCGAGGTTGAGCCTCGATACCTAGTCGGGTTTCGGGGATCATAGTGGAGGTGGGATTTATCAGTTTGGCGTAATATTTGTCCATCATGAAGGCGGCATCATTCTGCATCGTAGCGGGCGCCAAAAGGCTTGGTATTGAGTTTGATTTCCGTGATAACCCCAGCAGCTAGCTCGCATCTTCGTAGTGCAGCCTCATTACAAAATAGATTTCTCATCATTGTATACATTCAATGTGCTTGCAGTCTAATACTGTGCCTCATAGCATGATGATAGCATTTCATAGTGAGGGACGAGTAGAGATGCGAGCCTCCGGACGCGATGTAGTCGCGCCTGCCGCTTCAGCCCTACGCTCCCGCGCTGTAGCGACTTCACAATGGCACTGCCCTCCAGCTTCCTCCACCAAACCACCAATTCTAAACCCGCCTCATCCCGGCCCGAGCCTCTCATCATTCCCGCAAGCAGTGACGCACGAATGCCAACATGCAATGTGATAGAATCGCGATTTCTCCACATGTCGCGAAGAATGGTTTAGCAAGACCCGCCCAAGCGCTTCGCGTTTCACCCCACACAAACCGATTCGTCAGGAACGCCCCAAATGCAACCTGAGACTTCAGGAAGCGCGCTCCTAAAATGTCGAGTGGAAAGTTTATTTAGCGCTATGCTAAGGACTTGCTCTGGTACTACGCCGCATAGGATGAGGATGCGGAAGCAAAAGAAGCGTCGTTCGCTGTGCGCGAACTATCAGCCTCATCCTGACGTTACTGTGGTCGCTCGTACCGCGTAATCAACAACAACAGCATGAACGTCAGCGACGTCTCGCGCTGGAGCTCGTTCCACCGACACAATATGGACTCAACAGTCGTATATTCAGATCATCCGAATCAAGCCCAACCTGAGTCGAAATTAACATCGGTCGAAGCGACTGTAAAGCGGACGCCGAGTTGGCCAGACGAAGCACGAGCATTGAAGCAGCGCACCTGGATCTCATACTTGTATTTTGTTGCGGATGTCATCCTTGTCTTGCTTCCCATATACTTCGTTTGTCAGTTTGCGACAGGAGCCTCCCCATACCCGTGCTGACATACTATAGTGCTCGGCATAGCAGTCGTAACCCTGAATGGTAAACCTGTTGCTGGCAATGTTTTTGCAAATAAGGTTACTGCAGCTATCCAGCTTGTCCGCGATCTCCGCTTCCAGATCTTTGCAACCTGCTGATGTACTAAGGGCCCGACTATATTTCCCATCATGTTCGCGGCGATAAGTGGTCGTAGTATGAAAATGATTGCAAGATACCTAGCGGAGAAAGGCACCAAACTTAGCGTAAGTCGAGTGAAGCATACGTACGATTTTGCGCCAGTCATGATCACTGACTGACTCGTCAGAATCTCGAGCTACTCATGGCAAGCCAGTCTGTATGGGGAACGATCGAAAGCCAGCTACTGATGCGACGAATTACCGTTGTTGGTGCGAATCTGCTATTTCTTTGGACAATGTCCCCTCTAGGCGGTCAGGCATCACTACGTTTGATGAGCAAGTCCACCTATACGATAGCAACTTTCTCTCCTCTTCGTTACCTTTCTACTGGCCCCGGTAGCGCCGCGTGGGCAATTAGTAGCGGTACCTACGTTGAAACCGATGGAAGTCTGACTCAAGTCGAAGCATTGTATGCTGCCGCATTATTGGGTTCCGAACAAGTCAAAAACGGGCCACAGGACATCTGGGGCAATGTCAAAATACCGTACCTTGAATTCGGCGGGGGCAGCAAAGACAGATGGACCATTCTTAATTTAACCCAACGACGCCCTGAAGATTACGTCTCTTTGATCGGCATACCTGTCATCGGCCGCCCCGTGGATCGGGACGGGAGCTTTAGCTTGGAGACTTCTCAGCTTACCGTACAGTGTGAGCCATGGGTATCGCGTACCGTGGAAAACAGAACCGACTTTACTGAACTCGAGAAGCTCGTGCCGGGCCAGATATGGCAGAACACGTCAGATGAGAACAGTCCTTGGGGCAACGATAGAGTAGCCGGAGGAAAGCGCTCGACATTCTTTCTACAGACAGACCTTCCGCTCACCAATGGAGGTACTGATGGAGACGGCCGTTTTGATGCGTTTGCTGGTTACAAAAACACATCGATGACGAACCAGGAATTTCCCATGCGAAAGCTCACGTACGCCTCCAGCTTGGGAGTCGGACCACTTGGAAACACAAGTCTGAGTATCACTAACTGTTCTCTTGGTCAGAGTCATACTGAAACGGTGGTGGAGTGCAACAGAGACACTTGTGCTGCTGTCAAAGTCCGTCCGTCTCAGTCAGACTTGCGGAATACTCATGTCACTCCCTTCGACCACATCCTGATCTCGCAACTGGCTCTGGCTGCTTTCCCTAAAGCTTTCGGTTGGTCTAGAGGATCCAATCCGACCGAGCAGTTCATCTACAACACAACGTCCTTTCAATTAACCTCACCGACTTCGAATCTGGGCATTAATCCAGGTTGGGTAAACCTGACAGAACTAAGCCCGGAGGTTTTTGCGAAACGGCTATCTCTTGTTCTGAACACCTACTACCAACTTACGATTGCACCAAACGCATATCTTGGAAACCTTCCACAAAGCAACTCGTCGGCTTTCGGTCTTGATACCAAGCCAGTAAACGATGTCGATGTCTACCTACTTCAAAACGAAACTACCCAAAACACTACCTTCGCAAACTGGTTCAGACCCTTTAATCTGGCGACGTATGACTCAGGAATATTCTTCATCGGAGCGACGACAAACGCGACAATTAGTAGGACACATGACATCTACCTTTGCAATTTCGCTTGGCTGAGTCTGTTGCTCGTAGCTGCAGTTGCGATATTTCTGGTCGGCGTTGGGTCGTTGATTCTCAAGCGGAAGACACTTGGTCCGGAGATGTTTGGATTTGTCACAAGCATGACCTACGAAAATCCATACCTCGATCTACCTGCGGGAGGCAACACCTTGGATGCTATGGAAAGAGCAAGATTGCTGAAGGACGTTGATGTGCACGTGGGCGACGTACGCGCCAGTGAGGACATCGGGCATATCGCATTCGCTGCGGGCACACCGAAGCGCAAACTTGAGAAAGGCCGCATGTACTTTTAAGAGGCAGCCTCCGTCTCGTCTCGGTCCAGTCTGTGGCGCAGTAGCTCTTCGTCATGCACGATGTGGGCCCCCCTACGAGAAAAAGGGTACGGCGATTCGTTGAGTCTGGACAGCTCTAATTAACATCACCTCAGTCAACAAGTGCGACACACCCAGGAAGTAATTGCCTATCCTGGTGTTTAGGATATGATGGGTCAGTGAAGATGGGCCTCCAAACAATTTGATCATCCCTCCAGGGCAGCAAACGTCCGCGTCATCGTTCATCGACGCAATGCCCACAGCTAATGGTAATCGACACCCTGGCGCCGTAGCTCAGCCAGTCCCTTGCGCGATTCGAGAGAAGATGTGTCAGTCTTTAAGCGGATGCTAGTGAAAACAAGCGTCGACACCAGGCGCAGTGGAGCGAAACCCAGAAACGAGCAGCCATCGGCGTCCGCGAAAGAGAAAGCGGCTCACCAATCGGCCACGTTGGACAGGGATCGTGAAGTCTGAGATGCGACGCTCCATAAAACACAGGGGTACGGATCTTCTACCGGCCCGCTAAGCGACCACGCCTTAACCAATGGCTGCTCAGATGCAACATCGAAACGAAACCTCCCCCTTTAGGCCCTGCACCGACACATGGTGATCCTCGAATCCACGTCTTCATGGCCTTCCCACTTAGGCGTCGACGCATAACGTACATGCGTCGGTTTTGCACCATTTTCGCATTCCCTTGGCTGGGAGCCTCAGCATACCCGGACCGCCCGTTTCATCCCGTAGACGCTGGCCGCTGTGGACCACCAACGTCTTCCATGTACCTTGTCTTACGTCTACACTGTCACCCTCCAGTATGGTCGTTTGATTAGAGGATCATTCGAGCATACGCATTGTGGAGGTTTTGGTGGCGGCACGCGATGGCTATAGTATCCACACCACGTTGGTGGTGGCACAAGTATAAGACACGACCGCTTCTTCGCAGCATGATTTTCCCATCACAACTCACGCTCTCTTAGTAGCTTCTACGTTCTTTGCATTGCAGTATCATTTACACGACTAGCAGGTCTAGATCACCTACATTCTCTACAAACATCTATCGCAATTGCCGTTGTACAATTTCCCCATTCCAACCATCAGCATCATGTCCGTCCGATCCACCGTTATGGCTGCGGCCGCTTTCTTCGCCATCACCAACGCCCATATCATCATGGAGCAACCTGTTCCGTACAGCGTTGACAAGATCGACAATGGCCCTATCAACAAATCCCAATTCCCCTGCAAGAGCAACCTTGGCTTCACAGTCTCCGAGATGAACAAGATGGCCGTAGGAGAGCAGCAAACAATCAAGTTCAAGGGCACAGCTGTCCATGGCGGCGGTTCCTGCCAACTCAGCGTTACCATGGACACCGAACCTACCGAGAACTCCAAGTTCAAGGTTATCAAGTCAATTGAAGGTGGATGCCCTGGTGTCGATGGCCAAGTTAGCGAGTACAGCTACGAGCTTCCTGCCAGCATCCCCAACGGCAAGGCTACCTTTGCATGGACTTGGTTCTCGAAGATGTCGGGAGCCCCAGAACTTTACATGAACTGTGCGCCTATCGAAGTTACTGGTGGCGCTAGCGATGACTCTGCTTTCAACGAGCTTCCTGATATGTTTGTCGCGAACATCAATGAGGGTTGCACCTCTCCTCAAAACTTTGCTACCAAGTTTCCCAACCCGGGTTCAAACGTCGAGAAGGGTGCTACCAACGACTTGGAAGACCCTACTGGTAGCTGTGGAGCTACTGGTTCCACTCCTGCTGAGCCATCTTCCCCTGCTGGTGGCGAGTCTTCAGCTGCTCCCTCATCTCCTGCTGGTGGAGAGCCATCTGCTGCTCCTACTTCTGCGAACGATGGTCAGTACCATCCTGCCCCTACCGCCCCCGCCGCGGGATCGCCATCTGCCGTTCCCACATCTGTTACTGGAGGCGACTCATCTGCTCTTCCACCTAATGGCGGTGGTGTCTTCGCTCCCGGAGCTTCCAGCGGTGCATCCATCGCTCCCCCAGCCGCACCCACAGTGCCATCGACGTCCACCACACTCGTTACTGTTACCGCCTCACCCACTGCTCCCTCTCCGGTCGGACCCACCGTTCCTGCTGGAACCGGCTCTCCTGCCGCTCCTTCTATGCCTTCAACTCCTTCAGCTGGTGGCGCGGGCACTTGCACCGAGAACGGCTCTGTGGTCTGCAACGGCGCCGATCAATTTGGTCTCTGCAACAACGGCGAGGTCGTCTGGCAAGCCGTCGCAGCCGGCACAACCTGTGTCAACGGCAGCATCACAAAGCGTGGTTACAACGGACGCATCGCTCGTCCTAGTTGGTCCAGCCGCCGCGTTGTCAACTAAACGCACAATGCCTCATGATACGCATCGCTCACGACACATGTTGAAACATAACTGCATTCACACATTCGTTTCTTCCACCTTTTTCGACTGGGAATGTGGTCTGGGACCGAACTTTCCGCTGTACATAACCAAAGCTTTTCTTCGCATCTATTGGCGTTCTGTGTTGGGACTTTTCGAAATTTTCGAACGAACACTAAGGGGCCTGAGTATCGACAGGGTCACAAGGATGCCTGCCGGTAGCCAAAATCACCCTCGGTTTAGAAGCCTTAGAAATGAAACACGATTTCTGATACCATGCCTTTTCCGATTTAATTGCGTGACTGTAGCATCTGTTGTTACTAATGTGTATTGAAATCGGCTGATAGGTAATTTGCCAGTTGTCGAAATAGTGGGCGTTGTTGGTTGATTGACAGCTTGATGATCCTACAATTCGTTCATTTCACATTACATAAAACTTGCTCCTGTTAACCATCTCGTTTATCTATCACAACACTATCAACACTCATGTCTACCCAGCATGCGCACAAACGTATCCCATTCTCTCATCCACTACATTCCACCCTCGAATACCCATCCGCCTCCCTGAGCCAGATCACTAATCAGGCTCGGAGCGCGGATGTCTTGAAACCTCGCATGCCTGACCATCACAGGGCCCTCGAAACCCGGACCCCGGCATCAAAGCCGCACAAGCATCATCCCACGACAAATGATGTGAATCATCTTAGATCTGGAAATAGAATTAGGCTTGCTCAGCCACTATAATAGCTAGTGTCAGGTCCTAAGCCCTTGATGTCCATGGAGTGGGGTTGGTGGGGGTGTGGCGCAGTATGGACGAAAAAGGCGAGGGCGATGTTTCCAAAGTTGGGATATGCCTAGACGTAGAGCGATTGGGCGATACAAAGAATGTCTTTGGTGTTTGCGAAGTGTGGTGCGCCCATAAGTGGAGAGACTAAGCCCCAGGGCAGGTTAGTAGTTCAGAAGTAGATATGTCTTCATTGCGCGTGTTATTCAACTCCAAATCAACCCAGAACCTTTGAATGCCAAGTATATCCTTCGCAGGAGCCAAGACTCGCAAAGCTATCGGTCGGACAGAATGTTGTGCGAGTCCTTCTTTGCACTGGCAGACTATCGTCGGAAACCCTATGTCGCTGGTGAAGCTGTTAGCTGTTTGGTCGAAGCCACAGAACGAGCTTTCGTCGATACAGCTCGATAAGTTCGCGGCTTGAGGAATGGTCGATAGTGCCCAGGTGCCATGGGGGAAGGTTGCATTGCTCAGCTTTGGAACCTGGTTAAGGCAGTGACGCGTTGTGCAGGAACTTAGCTGCTCTAGATAACAGAAACGATAAAGAGGTGTACAGAGCGATAGAGCACGAATAGTAAGATTATGAAAGCTATGTGAAGCTGGCTTCTGAGCTTATGATGTCATGATCCAGATACTCATGTCAGCTATTAAATGACCGTGCCATTATAAACTTGATAGCAACTTTTGTGACCGCACAAATCCAAGGGCATTTTACCGTCGCTTACCGATTGTGGCATGGTGGCAAAGAGGGACCAACCCCTATTTCGTGCCGTGGCGATCGGCATGATTGAGACGAACTCCGGGGCCATCATCGATTTCATCCCAGCCATCAAGCCCATGTTATAAGCGACCCTTACTGCAGACCCTTTGATTTGTGTGAAGTATCTAAGTGTACCGCTCTTCGATTCGGGATATCTACCCCCCGTGGAGTGTGTCCGCCAGACCTGGCCGAATGCGGCTAGCGGCGCAAATTTCCTCAGAAATGCGGGACAGCGGTGTGAAGTTTTCAGGCCTTGGCCCAATGCACTACTCCTGGCTCGCTCGAGGGGCGAGCTTCCACGTACTTGGCAGTAGTGAAGGCTTCCCATAGGTCCGCGAGGAAAGATGTCTTCTTTTGCGCAATGTACTTGTCCCCAAGCAACGGCGCAATGGCAAACGTAGCCTCTTCGCAGTGATAGAAGGGAATGCGCCTGGGCTGTCAGTTTCAGATCCAACACTAGTTAAAGCGAATCTACTTACGGGAAGATGTGATGCACGACATGGTATTCAATGATGCCGTGAAAGATGTGGCGTCCAATAAAGCCGAATTCGCGATCCACAGTGGACATGGCGCCCTTCTGGTAAGTCCAGGCCCCATCTTCGTAATGAGGCGCTTCTGGGTGCGTGTGGTGGAGATAAGTGATAGCGACTTGCATGGTTAGTGAATGCTGTTTACACGGTTGGGCCAAAAAGATGCTTACCGATCCAATGGTTCATCCAGAGGTAAGGAAGACCGTACAAGAAGAAAGTGTTTCGGTAGCCTAGGGTCTGAGCGACTTGATAGAGGACTGCAAAGACGGCCACGATGCCTGCGTTGGATAGAAGGACGTATGGCTGCTCTTGACGAGTGAAGACGGGCGAAGTGGGATCGAGATGGCTTTGCTTGTAGGTCGGCACGGTGGATCGACGGCCTCTGGTAAGGCTTTGTGCGCCAGCTCCTGCGTTGATCAGGATGTAGGCTGGCCATCCGAAGAGCTGGTGAATCGCCAGAGTGAAGAGACTGACGATGGGTGTATCCGCCGCGTCGTGGTCCACGAGGCGTGTCAAGAAGCTCGGTTCGGCCTTTGACTCGGAAGTTGGCTTGCGGTTGGGCACGAAGACGGTGTCCTTGTCCATGTGGTTTGCGTAACGGTGATGACGGGAATGGCTGAACTTCCACGAGAAGAATGGGACAAGAAGAATGCTGTGAAGGACCCAACCAACTGCCGCATTGACTTGGAGATGGCTTGAGAAGGAGTCGTGGCCACATTCGTGGGCCAAAATCCAAAGCCCTGTGAAGAACAGACCTTGGACAAAACTGTAGAGGACCCAGAGCGGAATGGCCCAAGACGACTCAAGACGTGTCAAGCAGACGGCAGAGTAGAACAAGGCGCTGACCGCCACGAGGTCTCGTGCAACGTACGAAAGGGATCTCAGAAGAGAGCGTTCGAAGCATTTTTCTGGGATGGCTTCTCGAAGAGCCTTGATTCCGGGCACAGAGGCATCTCCAACCGGTGCCATGTCCGGCGAGGTGAGCGTCTGGGTTGTGGTTGCACTCATGGTGGGTGGTGGAGGAAGAATGTGAGAGAGACGGAGAAAGGAAGAGGAAGGGAGAGGGCACGATTATCTACTCAGACGACAAAGCTGCACAGTCCTAAAGGGCCCTTGGTGCGTTCTCAACAAGGCAAGACGAAGACGCTCAGTGGATCAGATTGGACCCCTATGTGGAGTACAGTGTTGCGGAAAGTACCTAGGTAAGTCCTGGACTTAGCTTTGGAGACAAAGCTTTAGTCTAGAGCGGCCCGACGATAAAATCGAGGGATGGAATGCTGGAGCGGCACGCAAGGCCCGTTTACGCGCAAAAGTCGGTGTGAAAGATCAAGAGCAACCAAACGGCGTCCGCGTAATTGCTCCTTTACTCGACAGGGCTGGGCGGCCGTTGGAACGGTCTACACATGGCTGCCAATCTCGTACCCAACGTGAACAAGACTGCAGATCTCATTCGCGTCAGCGACCCACATGGAACCAGGAGTGTTTGCTCAGTTTCGGCGGTTTTCATATCGCAGGTTCTGGCCTAGCTATGCAAACCATGTATATACCATTGATAAGTACCGGAGAAACTGTTTGGGATTGAGTTTGCGCAACACGGCGGCTCAAAACGGCTTTTTACACGCCATGGCGTCCGTTGCCACGCTTATCTCACGGCGCGAGGGCCCGTATGCTCAACAGACGCATCCTAGCCATAGAAAGCAGGAGGGAGGAGTCTTTGTCTGGGTAGCAAGCAGACTAATGCTACCACTGTGGGGTCCCGATGTCGTGGTCGCAGGAAAAAAAGGGTTCAGGCACATTTGCTGGACCCTGGAACTAGCTCCGAAACGACTTGGCGCCTCGGTAATCTCTACCGCCTGTGCGCCTCCACGCGCCCTCGGCTCTTCGCCTCTTCGTCGTCCATTTAACCATACTTTAACTTTCGGCGGCCATGCTCAGTGACCTCGGGATGCTGTACCTCGATTCTCTGCATGCCGTTGCTGCAAACCTAATCGGCCGGCGCGAGAAGGCACGAGAATGTCGTATGGGGTATTCCGACACGCACGGGCCACCTCACCTGGGTAGCATCATCTACACCGGACACTTTGGTCTTCTCGCCAAGCGTGCCCGATATCTCCCTTTGACCCGATGCACGTTTGGGATGACGCTGTCCTGCAGTCAACAGGCATCGCCAACATCACCATCGTTTTGTGTCTCTCGTCTCGAAGCACGTCATGTGTTATCTTGGCTAGCTTATGTACAACATGGGTCCGTATAGCCGTATTCGCACCGACTAGCCTCCGCACTCATCGAGCCGCTTGACAGCTTCCGCTTCACAGCTTCGATAGCGCACTAACCTCTTCCACGAAGCCTCGCTCCCACGTCTCGAGTCCTGCTCTGGGGCACCAACCCAGTCTCTTAGCGATTTCACTGCGAGTCCTGCATGTGCTTGCGAACCCCAGCTCAGCAACTTGCTCAACACCACCAGTCAAGAGTTTGGCTCCATCGGCGAGACAAACAGACTTTACCGTGTTACTCTTGACTACGCCGGCGTCGAATGCTGCATTTGCAACCGCCTGCGACACCTCGATCCACGTGTGACGCCCATGTGCGCTGAAAACAACGCCTTGTTTCCCCTTGGGCAGAGAAGCGCCTCCCTTTGACAAGATCTCCACGAGTACCAGCTCGTAGAGCTCTGCCAGGTCCTCGATATGAACTAGAGCAAGAGATCAGCGTGCGTTTGTGACAGAGATTCGGCGGTAATAGTACCGTTGTCCCACACGCCCTTGCCGTCACCGATAACGATGGCTTCCCCTTCAGAGATCGCCGCTCGGGCCAATCGAGGAACTTGCAGACTACGCTTATTCCACAAGCCCGTTCCAACCTAGACGAGGTGTCAATATCGTGCGGGGCCGCAGTTTGCGGGGAGGCGTCGCTCACCCCGTAGATCAATGGAGACATGAGAACGACAGTCTTCACGCCTGACTCGAGTCCAGCATCTATCATGCCAAGCTCCGTTGTGCGTTGAATGTACTTTTTTACTGTGTTGCGCGACTTCTCATACGCATAGATGTTGTCCCTCGAGTCGTCGAATTCCAGATCGGGTTTTGATTCAACGTGAACACCCGAGAGTGGCTGGTCCGCAAGGTTCGAGACACCTGAAGTGTGGACCATCCAAGCATCTTTGCCAGTGGACTTCTGGCGCAACGAAAGACCCTCGATAAAGGCCGCAGCACTGGCGAGATGATAACCGAGCGTCATGTTGAAGATGACGTCGTACTGACTTGCTATCTCGACAAGGCGGTCAGTATCGTCCAGACCTTCGAAGCCGATAACCTTGACCTTGTCACCAAACGCAGCGTGGAGCTGTGCAACTCTTTCTTGGCCTCGAACGAGACACGTAATATCAGCGTCTTTGATCGCTGCATGTTTGCTGCGAAGCAGTTGGTGGAGCACACTGCCCCCAATGTATCCTGTGACGCCGGCAAGCAGAATCCTTTCCCGAGCCATGATTGGAAGATACGACAACGTGATACAAGTACGAGATATCGGCGATGATGATATATTGGCGGTCCGAGGATTGCCTGGGAAACCTGCCTACTTTTGAAGTGATGATTACTAAGAGGGTATTCAGACAACGGCTGGGTCAATACTATGCACCTCGACATACCTGCTCTGCGTGGGCGAAAGACATCATCTTGCCCGGGGCCTCGCACTCCAATGGAGGCAGCGGAGTTCTCTCCGGAACTTTGCTTTGCATCGGTACTGCATTCCCGCCGTTGGAACTTTGTCTTAACAAAGTTTCGCTATTCTCCCGATACGGCCCGCTCCATCGGCATGATAACACATCTAGCTGCTGACGCGGCTGAATACAAACTCAACACCCTTGGTGACTGCACTACACAACTGTAGCATGGAAGAATTTAGAGTCATGCAGCTAGGGCAAAGTCCTTCATCTCAGACACCCATATCTCCGAATAACGCATATGGCATTCATCGGCCTCATTCAACATGATACCTCATGATAGCTGCAGCGGTGCGGGCCGAATACCAAGATCACTGCAAGCAGGCTTCCTACATCCCAGTCGCCTTGATTGTCTGGTGTTCCTTATGCGAAGATAGTTTTTGGCATCGTTCGTGTCGTTAGTATTGCGATAATCAGAGGTGACTCGTGGTCTGTGGGCTACGATGCAAAGAGGATAGACCGGATGTAATTAGAGTACGACACCACGCGCACATAGACCGTGTTGTCAGCACACACCAAGCTCTCACCGACCTGGGGGCGATCCCCAATGACCTGAACCCAGGCCCGGTGCCCAAAGTCAACACCATCCTCGTGGGGTTTGTCACATGTCAGTGGATGTTACCGTATTACGGCAACTACTTGTTTGGTGCAACAAGTGCCGATTGAGATAAGACGACGCAAAAAGCCAAGTCCTGAGCACCCAATAGCCACGGAAAACCAGTCAGCTTACTCTGACCGGCCGTCTAGCTAGCGTCGGCCGACTGCCGAAGTATCTACCTGGATATGACGAGGAACGTGGGCGAAGTCAAACAGAGAATGAAGCTAGAAACACATGCACTGACGTTACGTGCATAGGGCGAACAGTCCTTGAAGTTAATCGACACTACGCTACATCACTGAGGCTGAGATCCGTTGTATTCAACAGCCTCAAGTCTAGTCGCATTGCCGACGAAACTTGTGCCCATGATGCTTCCGGGTTAAAACTTGTCTGTAGTCTCGTTGAAAGAGTCGGTATATTCACTGAGTCATTTACCCTACTGCCGGTCGGTTTTCGGTACCAGACTTGTGGGGGTCTAGTTTACCCTCCACTGATCAGCCTGCGATCTAGCAACTAGTGTATGGCAATCGTCTGGGGACTCTGTATCAACCTAGCTTTGAGGGTCTCCAGGTTCTAACCACGGCGATCCCCAACGTGCGTGAAATTGGCGGGATCGCAGGGGGAGTGACTTCGGGAGAGTATTATAGCGATTGATCAAACGACCTGACTATAAGACGCCACTTCCACGTTAGGAGCCGTTAATCCAACGCTTCATCTCATACCTCTTCATCGTATCTACCTTGATCGCTCACAATGAACGTCTCTACTCCAACTTTTCCATGGCATCTCATGCCGACCATGGACTCTCTCCCTTCTGCAGAGCAGTTCTCCACCATCGAGATGCACCCGCGCAATATAGTCGCAAGTCTCTTGGCCATAGTGATCAGCTTTTCTTACCTTCGATCTGTTACGAAAAAGACTGGCCTTGAGCGCTTCCCCGGACCGTGGTATGCGCCCTATACGGCCCTGCATCTGCGATGGCTCTTCGCTCGTGGCACGATCCACGAATATGTCGAGAAGATGCACAAGCAGTACGGCGATGTCATCCGTTTGGGACCAAGACAGCTCTGGATATCTGATAAGGGAGCTATGAAGCAGATTCTTCTCACGATTGATCTACCCAAGGTTACCATGTATGCTGAGATCTCGAGAGACAGAAAAAGTCCCGGTCTCTTTGGAGAGATGTAAGTATCAGTCTCCCGTATTTCCTTGCGAAAACGACGGTAGCTGACGCCGAAAACCCACAGCCGCCCCGTTCCCCACCGCAACCTCAAGAAGTTCCTCAGCCCAGCTTTCACTGTCTCTTCTGTCGACAAGCTAGACACGTTCTTCAAAGCGTGCACATCGATCTTGCTCAGCAACTACTACACTGAAGTCAACAAGGCTATCGCTCAAGATGCCAAGTCCAACCCCAACGGCGACTTCGAGACTGACCTTATGCGTGACTTGCACTGTCTTGCGCTAGACATCATGGGCGAGTCGTCATTTGGTAAGGGCTTCGGGCAGATCGACAAGATCTTCGATCCCAGCAAGCTGTTGTCCGGCAGGGACAAGCGCTGGAGCAAGATTCCCGACGCCATCTTCAATGGTCAGGCGAAGAGGTATGGGTTGGTCTTTGTGAAGAGATTCCTCAGGCGCATGGGATATGAGTGGGAGGTTGATTGGCCCAAGGAGATGACGTCTGCGATTTGCGAACTCGTCGACGAACGCGCGGCAGCTCAGGGAGGACACGAGAACAGGAAACGCATCGATGTCCTCCAGCACATGTTGGACGAGGGCGCGCGACCAGACACGGGAGAGCGTATGTCGAACCAGGACATCATCGATCAGATGTCTGAGCTCCTTCTCGCTGGATCGGAAACCACGTCTGGTACGTTAGATTCGTCCATGCCCCATTGCCACTCCTTAGCTTCTAGGTTGCGGCCTTCAAGTTTCCCTCTCCACCGCGCATCATAGTAGCTAACGAGGCGCCTTAGGAACCATGGCATGCCTGTTTGTGGAACTCGCACGAACCCCCGCCGCTCTCGAAAAGCTACTCGCTTCTCTTCCCGTCCTTGGCCCCAATGACCCCATCCTAGACTCAAAGACGGTGCGCACAGACCCACAATATCGCTACCTCGAAGCCTGTCTGAAGGAGAACCTGCGTATGAACCCCATTGCCTCGGAACTGGGTCGCCGTACCACAGACCAAGGCCACAACATCAACGGCAACGAGATTCCGCCTTACACGATTGTGTCGGCCAGCTACAGAGCGCTCCATCGTGATGAGAGGTACTGGCCTCAGGCGGAGAGGTTCTGGCCGGAGCGGTGGCTGGAAGGTGAGGAAAGAGAGGACGCACCCGAACCTGAGTAAGTCGCCCTTGGTGATGAGACGAGAGATTCGATGTGGACATTTTCTAACGTGAGATTGTAGTCTGGATGCTTACTTTCCATTCTCCAACGGCCGACACAATTGTATCGGACAAAAGTATGTTACCTTCCCCCTCATCTTCTGCTGCAGCAGCGCACTAACATGCATGGCCAGCTTCGCATACGCAGAGATGCGCACAGTCTCGGCCAATCTTCTTTCTCGCTTTGCTCTCGAGGAGGCTGGATACCAGCAGATCCAACTCCGGCAATTCATCACGATGCAGTTCCATGATGGCAAGTGGAGAGTTGTGCTGAAGCCCCGCTGGAAGGATGCTGCGAAGGCTTAATGCGCGAGCTTTCGCGTCGCTACTGCAGCATGTTGGGTTGGACTGCGTTGAGCGGGAAGCACTCGATTGAAGAACAGATTGAAAGAAAGGGGAAAACGCGAAGCAGGACCATTCTCCAGTTTGAGGGCACATTCCTTTTCTCTTTTGGTTAGTGCGACTAGATAGTAGAAGGCACAATTTGATTGATTCCACCACCAACTCCCGTGCTCGTCTGCTTTCTTGCAACATGACATGGCTCTGGACTGAAGCGTGAGGCGAGCGGAGGCAGCGGAGTCAGCGGAGTCAGGCTGCATGAAGGCAAGGATATCGACCCGGGCTGTGGACAGAGGCTCGGGCTTATCTCGCAGCCTGCAGCCAAGGCCGAAGTAGCAGCGCATGCCGTCAGCGAGCGTGAGGCAGCCCTGGAGTGCCGGAGGCTAGCGCGCCGCTGCACGGGAGCGCGTCAGGGCAACTCAGCAGCAACAGCAACAGCCTTGTGCACGACACCATGGCCATGGCCACGACCCCGACCCCGACCCGCACACGACATGTCTGAGCCCCGACGGTCGACGAGGGCGCGCGCCCGCGAAGACGCCGCCCCGGCTGCCCCCGACACGCCCAACGACAAGCCCGCCAAAGCCGCCAAAGCCGCCCTGAAGCGCAAGCGGACCAGCCTCGCCGTCAAAGACGCGCCGCCCTCGACGCCCGTTGCTGAGGGCGCGCCGCTGCCCCCGCGACAGACGCTGCCCCTCCAGCTGGTCGACGGCGCGCCGCTGCCCACACTGCGCGAGCCACAGCCCCTCCACCTTCCATCCAGCGAATGGCAGACGATCCAGCAGAGCCGCGTCCTCGAGACGTCCTTCGAGCGCTCCAAGGCTGTCTGGCTGTCTGGCGCCAACTTCCGCACCTTCCATGCCCACTTCAACCAGCCCAAGAAGCTGGCCGACCGCACCGACGAGGACAAGGCCAAGACGGCGAGACAGAAGGAGCTGCTCAAGAACTTCCCCCAGGTCGGTGCCGACCGCGTGAGCGTGAAGCTCGTCATAGAGCCGCACACGCTGCCTATCCGCCTCTACGGCCCGCGCGAGGTGGGCAGACCAGCACAGAAAAAGCCTCCCGCGCCATCGCCCTATGCTCCCTGGCCAAACCACAGCCAGCCCAACCAACACACCAAATACCAGGGTGGCCAGCCCATACAGCAGAAGCCCCAGCCACGCCCACCCCAGCCCCCCAAACCTGTCCAGGCCGCGCCTCCGCCTCAGGCCCCCGCAGCCCCCGCCCCCGATCCCGTCATACACATGCTCGCCGCGAGAGCAGGAACAGATCCCGAGCTGAAGGCTGTCATGAAGATAGTCGCCGCTGGCTCGGCAAGCAAGGAGCAGCTCGAGTTCTTCCAGACACACATCAACGAATTGACGGCGATTCTGGCCAGGCAGAAGGAGGAAAAAGCGCCCAAACCAACTCCGCCAACGCAACCCCCCAAACCTACGCCGCCGCCGCCGCCTCCAGCACCGAAACACACAGCTCCTCCTCCGCTTCCCCGCCCAGTCCAGCCAGTCCAGCAGCCTCTGCAGCCCAGCACGCCCAAGCCGTACAGTCCGGTCCCGCCACAGGGACAGACGCAGCAACCCTCGCCTACACAACAGCCATATCCACCCTATCCGAACAACTTCAGCAAACCGCCGCAATACCACCCGCCGCCGCAGCTATCGACCTACAACCCACCCCCGAGGACGACATATCGCCCGTTGGTCTTCAGTTTTGTCCATGGCAGCGAAGACAAGTTTTACTTCCCTTCGTATAGTTTCATGGAATGGCTTCCCAATGGCACAGGCGCAAAGCTGTCCTTTCTCATCACCAAGATGAAGCCAAGGCCGGATCCAGTCGTCAAACCTCCGTCTGCCTCTGCTCAAAACTTAATGCCGACGCCGATTCCGACTCTCGGTACTGCGACTAATGCTATGCCTGACGCACCCCCACCGAACGCCATCATACCAACACCCAGCCCCACAAACCCTGCTTTTGCGTCCACACAACCTGCCGCATCAGCCCCCTCGGCAACCTTCGTGCCGCCTAAACCGCCCCAGCGAATCGAAGATTTCGACGAGATGAATGAGATAGACAACATTGAATTCTACCAGCCAGTTACTGTCCTTCTACTAATCGAGCACGATGAAGGCGACGAAATCGCAAGCGCCTTGCCGCGCTCGATACGACCACCGCATGTCGTGGAGAAATACATGAACGAGGTGTTTGATAAGTGCAAAAGGGCAGAGGAGACATATCTAGCCTTCAGACTGCCCAAAGACGGCGATGAGTTGCCAGAGAAGAGGATTAGGAGCGGCGACGTGACGCCTGCGGTTGCAACGCCGACTCAGGACGTCGCCATGGGAGGGATGGGTGGGTCTGCCAGTAGTATGGCAGAAAAGAAGAAAGCTGGACGGCCTAAGAAGAGTCTTGTATGAGATCGTCTGATCGTGTGCCGATATTGTGGAAATCTTGGAATAGTCTTGCGGTGTGTATGAGTACAAATGATACCCATTTCTTAGCGTCAAACTACACACATTCTGCTCCGGTATCGCGTGTCATTGATATACGGTTGCGAGATACGTGAGGCGGTATTGTCTGAAGCATGCTCTTCGTTACACATGAGATCTGGAGCTGCCATCGCTCAACTCCGATGCCAAGATCTTCGCTGCGGCCTGCTTATCCCGGTTAGATCACCCGCAGTTGCCTATCTCCATGCATCTGTGCCCTCGCGCGTTCCATTTCCGCAACGTCACCATAATCCTTTTTGCTTTACCTGAGTCCAGTGCTACGGTCGCAGTACTTTCTCTGCGTCGACATTCCCGACAGTATAAAGTATCTAGGCAGCGCAAGACCACGTCCTGTGACTGAAATCATGCCCAACCTCAAAGCCATCTTTACAAAAGCGTACTGGACATTTGCCATTCTAGGCATTGTCTGGGCCGCGTTTGTGGGCCTATTGGTCAATCCCACGGTACAAAGGCAGTACGTTTTGCTCTCATCATGACAGATGAGATGACGTTTGGAGTCGATTCTAATGTCTTCTCAGCGCTCTCTATGCCCATAAATTTCACACGGGGTTCTACCACAACGTGACGAATCCCGAAGAATTCGGCTTTGCGAGTAAGTGCATCTGTAACTCTTCCTCGATTTGTTCTATCGCTGTACTAAGTACCCATGTGTAGAGGGGCAAGTACAACCCTTTTGGCTTACTACAGCGGATCAAGAGAAGCTCTTTTGCTGGCATGTACTTCCTCTAGATGTTTATCTGGAGAATGAACATGAGCTTTTTACTGCTGCTGTTTCGGGGGAAGTTGCAGAGGAGTTGAAGGGAACGATAGGAGAGAAGCTGTTGAGCAGCGACCCGGAAAGTAGGGTTGTGGTCAACTTTCATGGTGTAGGTTGTGCTTTCTTTCGATTCTTGACTTTTGGTTTGGCATGCTGTCCCTTTCTTTCCAGAGTCTTTGGTCTTATCACATCTCAAACTCTCATCTCAGACTATATCGACTCTTCTTTCTTAGTTTTACATGGTTTCTCTCTCATTCTTCCGTCACTTCATCCACCGTTAACCCCTTTTAATATTTCCAGCTTATCTATCACTCATTCTAATCCACCCAAACAGAACGCTGGCCACATAGCCCAAGGTTACCGCCCCTCAACCTACCGCTCCGTCTCTGGCATCCCAAAAACTCACCTCGTAACCTGCGACTACCGGGGCTTCGGTCTCTCCACGCTCACACACTCCCCGCATATCCCCACTGAAAGCGGTCTAATAGCCGACGCCTTAAGCCTGATTTCATACATCACCTCGGACCTCTCTCATTCAAGCACACGCATCGTTCTCCTGGGCCAGAGCCTCGGCACCGCCGTAACAGCCGCCAGCGCGCTCTACTTCACCAATTCCACCTCCGAGCACCTCCCATTGGCCATTACATCCCCATCTGTAACATTCAAACCATCCCGTAACTTTGAAGGTTTCGCCGGCATCGTCCTAGTAGCCCCCTTCACCTCGCTCCCCCAACTCCTCAAGACCTACAAAATCGGCGGCGTTCTCCCCATCCTAAAACCACTGCAAGGCTACCCCAGGATAGCAAACTATCTATCCACTCGCATCGTCGACCACTGGCCCACCCTCACCCGCCTACGCGCCCTCATCTCCACCGCCTCAGCCAACAAGTCCGGTTTCCACATTACTCTCCTGCACGCACGAAACGACCAGGATATCACGTACTGGGAATCTGAAGCGTTGTTCCAGCCACTGGCTACGCAAATGTTGACGGAAGAAGGGGTTGTGGCGGAGGAGGAGAGGAGAACGATTCAAGGGGCGAATAGGGTCAAGAGGGGTGCTTTTGCGTATAAGAAGGTCGAGGACGACAAGGGAGATAGGATGGTGGAGTTGGAGGTTGTGAGGTATGGAGGGCATAATGAAGTGGTGGGGTGGACGCAGGTTAGTCTTGCGATTAGGAGGGCGTTTGTGAGGAAGACGATGAGGCCGGGGTTGGACGTTGAGTAGGTTTTGGAGGAAGGGGTAAGTTACATTGGTTCTACCTGGGTTTGTTGAATTGAAGAAGAAGACGGAGAAGCAGCTGGATGGAGCTGGATGGAGCTGTTGAGGGGATATCATTCGTCGTCATATGGCGGTGTTGTTTACAACATTACATGTACAATACTTCTACACCTTTCTACCAATCCCACAAGAATACGCCAGACGTCCGCCAATGTAGATAAATCGATGTATGTCATCAGCACTCGAATCATCCAGGGAGCTCGTTGTACCAACACCGAGCTTTTCCACGGTCCCTATCCTGTTTCAACTCCGATTGAGCTTAGGAGGCTAATCTTACGCATTCCTAGCCTGCTGTTCCTTCTCGTACTTTGCCACAAGCTCCTTCTGCAGCTGCGGCGGCGCGGGACTGTAATGGCTAAACTCCATGCTAAACTCCCCCTTACCCTGCGTACTAGCACGCAACTGGCTGCTAAAGCCAAACATGCTGTTCAAACTGCAATCCGCATAGACAGTAAAGTCCTCCGGACCAATCTCCGTATCGTTGATAACAGCATTGCGCTTATTCAGAAGACCAACAACAGAACCCTGGAACTCATTCGGCGCCGTGATGGTCGTCTTCATAAGCGGCTCAAGTACCTGAGGCGCACCGGCCTGGAAAGCTTTGCGGAAAGCTTGCTGGGTGGCCATTTTGAAGGCCATTTCCGAGGAATCGACAGCGTGGGTAGCTCCGTCGTTGATGATCATGGAAGTACCCAAAACCTTATGGCCGAGAAGCGGGCCCTTGGCCGTGGAGGCCATGAAGCCCTTTTCACAGGCGAAGAGGAACTTCTCGGAGATGGTGCCTCCGGAAATCTGTTGCTCGAACTTGTTCTCACCAGCAGCTTCGCTTGGCTCCATCCAGCCGACTACTCGCGCGTAATCTCCTGACCCACCACTCTGCTTCTTGAGCGTGTGGTCGAAGTTGACGCGCTTGGTCATTGTCTCGCGGTAGGCGACTTGTGGTTGTCCGGTTTCGCACTCGACGCGGTATTCGCGGCGCATGCGCTCGACATAGATGTCCAGATGTAGTTCTCCCATACCGGAGATGATGGTCTCTTGCGATTCGGAGTCGGTATGGACTCGGAATGTAGGGTCTTCGCGCGTGAAGCGGCTCATGGCTTTGCTAAAGTTGGGTGTATCTTTGGTGTGCTTGGGCTTGATTGATAGGGAGATGACGGGTTCGGGTACGAACATGGAGGTCTATCGTGTCAGCTTGAAGATATGATAACAATAGTCTTAAAGTCTTACCATGGTGTATCCAAGATTACCGTCAGTGAAGGTATCTCCAGACGCGCAGTCAACACCGAACACGGCACAGATTTCTCCAGCACCAATTTCCTGGATTTCCTCCATGTCGTTGGAGTGCATGCGCACAATCTTCGGTATCCTGACCTTCTTGTCTGACCTCGCGTTGAATACATTCATTCCCTTTCTGAGCGTACCCTGGTACACACGGATGTATGTCAATTGTCCAAAACTACTTTCTTCTAGCTTGAAAGCCAGACCGACAAATGGCAAAGAGTTGTATGATACCAGCTTGACCGGTGCCTCTGCTCGCTTCTTGTCCAGTGCCATGTTCTCGACTTCGGAGGGGTTTGGTAGGTAGTCGCAAACAGCGTCGAGCATTGGTTGCACGGATTTGTCTGCAAGCGCGGAGCCCATCATAACCGGGGTGAACTTGAGGGAGATGGTGGCTCGTCGAATCGCAGCCTTGATCTGGTGAATTGTCGGTTCCTGCTCGTCCAAGAAAAGCTCTGCGATCTCATCGTCGACATCTGCAAGTGTTTCGATGAGCTTCTGCCTCTTCTCCTTGCAGAGCTCAATAATATCCGCAGGTATCTCGTCGGTCTCCCTAATGGTCTCGCCCTTGGGTCCTTCGTTGTAAATCGCCTTCATCCTGACCAGATCCACAACACCCAAAAAGCCATCCTCGCGGCCGATGGGTACTTGGAGAGCCGCAGCCGGTATGCGAAGCTTCTGGTTGATCTGTTCGACAGCCTTCCACGGGTTGGCTCCCATACGATCCATCTTGTTCACAAAGGAAATCCTTGGAATGTTGTACCGCCTCATCTGCCTGTCGACTGTGATGGTCTGACTTTGCACTCCGCTGACAGCACACAGGATCATGACGGCTCCATCAAGGACTCGCAGTGCTCTCTCTACCTCGATTGTAAAGTCGATGTGGCCTGGAGTGTCAATCAAGTTGATGTGGTATTTCTGGTCCTTTCCTTCATCGTCCTTCTTGATCCAGTCACAGAAGGTCGCAGCAGACTGGATAGTGATGCCCTTCTCACGCTCGAGATCCATAGAGTCCATCTTGGCACCCACAGCATCTTTGCCGCGTACCTCGTGTATGGCGTTGATTCGGCCGGTGTAGAAGAGGACGCGTTCGGTGGCGGTGGTCTTGCCGGAGTCGATGTGTGCTGCGATGCCGATGTTTCGCACTCGCGATAGTCGCTCCCATTCGACAGGGTCTAGGTTCTCGACGATTTTCTCTTGCGTCAAGGTAGAGGGGTCTTCCTTTGCTTGCTCCAGCCTATGACGTTCAATCAGCCTTCCATTGCTCTCTGGCCGTCACAGAACAAACATGGCAGCACATACACTTGCGCAGCCGCAGACTGCCATCTTCGTTGTGGCTTCGTGGTGTGGGCCCCTATCCATGTGTCTGTCTTGGTGCCGTTGGTATAGGGCGTGCGCGTTGCCGCAATGGTCGAAAGAGCGCATCGTGAAGGCGTCGCAACCGAGCGTGCTGAAGAGCGAAGACTGCTCGTGGCAAGTGCTTGCGCCCGGAAAAGAGACTGAACCCTCATCTTGAACAAAGGGGCGACGCGGGGTCTGCTGTCGCTTCGCAATGTCGAATTGCCCGCCAGGAAAAAGTTGGGCCATCGGAGTTTCGGCGGAGGTGCCAGTCACGTGTCGACGTGTGCCCGCCCACCCTACCATAGGCATTGCACGAGTGGACAAGTAGACAGAAAGCCATCTTGGAGTGAAGAATGGGATTGTAATCTAATAGTGATGTCTGCCAGATTCTGCGAAGCCTATCGCTAAAGAACAACTATGCACGCAATAGTCCTATCCAAACCCACCTCCGCTCCATGTCCTTAGGTATCCGCCCAAATATCAGTTACGCCAAACAATCGCTCCAGAAAATGCTGTTGAGAAGTGAAAGAAGATGGGAGCCATACAGCTCCGCGCACATAACATCGCCCATAGTTGTGCAAGATGGCATGGTACGGCAACCTAAGACTTGACCAAGTGTTGCAGGAATACATACGATTTGAGAAATGTATACGCCTAGGTCAGAGGCATAATGGCCCTCGTCTACCGGACCGTCTCCTCTGGGAAGTTGGGTGTCTGGAGTTCTGCAACTGACGAGTCTACCTCTTGAACTGGAGTGGCTGGTTTGTGCGATTCGTGTGTTGGCTCATTGGCGATAGGCTCCTCGGTTGTCCGATCGCCATGTTCAGATTCCTTTGCGGGCTCATCTCCATCCTTGTGCTCCTCAGAATTTCCGTTCGTAACCACTGCTCTGGCCTTGGACACGACCTCTTCCGCCTTCTTCTTCCCCTTTTGTAGAGTGCCGATCTTGGAAGCGGCAGGAGCCTTACGCGGTGGTGATGACGGCTTTTCATGGGGCTTATCGTGTGTCTTGCTGGAGCTGGCGGCCGTGGGTCGCATCATGCGCTCGAGGAAGCCTCCTTTAGGAGCAGCACTTGCGGTTGAGGTGCGCGATTCAGGTCGTTTGGGCGCAGGGGGTGCGATGGAAGGGCGCGAAGTCTTTGGTGCCGGGGCCTTGGGTGTAGGACGGGTGTTGGTGGAGGGCTTGCGTGTGACCTTGGGCTCCTCGCCATGTTTGGCAGCCGAGGCAGCCGTCGGCGCAGTCAGACGGGTTGGTAAACCGACTGGACGAGTAGGAGACTTTGGGGTTGGCTTCTTAAAGCCTGTTGGGGACGTGCTGTAGCGTTGTTAGCATTGGCGCATTGTCCCACGTGGCTCTGTCATACCTTTTGCGGGGGGCGGAAGTGGCGGGCTTGGGAATGGCAGGCTTCTTGTTCTCCACAGGTGCGGCTGCAGGCTTGGTCTTGGAGGCAGCGGCAGCAGTGGGTGCCGTCGCTGAGGACGCAGATGTTGCAGGTCGCAGAGAGGTGCGGCTGGTCTTAGCAGTTGGAACCTTTGCGGCTGGAACCTTTGCTGCGGGGGCCTTGGCAATGGGGGCCTTGACAGGCTCCTTGGGGGCTGCGGGCTTTGTGGTCTTTGCAGCTGGACTAGGCTTGATGGTGGGTGCGGCCGTCTTGGGTTTCGTAGGGGTCTTGGGTGCTGCTTTAGGTAGCGGGCTTTTGGCAGGGGCGGCGGGAGCCTTGGCAGGTTTGGCAGTCGAGATGGCAGCGGGCTTCCTGATCTCGGGCTTCTTGAGCCCAGGAGTTCCATTGGCCTTGGCCTTGGTTACAACAGGTGTGGCTGCTTCTGAAGCAGGTTCGGTGCTCGGGGCCATTACTGCTTCAGCCGGCGCAGGAGCGGTCGCATCGGGAACAGCGGCTTCGTCGGCAGGCGCAGCAGGTCGTAGAGCGAGCTCCTCTTGAGCACCCGTCACTGCCTTGTCTGTATTCTCGGCGGGCTGAGCAGCGGCTGGGGCCGGGGCAGAGGGCTCCTCGGTGGCAGCAGCTTCAGCTTGCACAGCTTCGGCTTCCTCTGCAATGGCAGCTTCCTCGACGACAGCGGCCTCCTCTGCGATGGCGTTCTCCTCAGCAACAACGGCGTCGTCATCGACGGCAGCGTCCGGCAGAGCAGGCTTGTCTTCGTCCACGACAGCCTCCTCGGTGGGCGCGGCAGGTCTCAGGGCGACATCCTCCTGCGCGCCTGTAGTAGCCTTGTCCGGGTTCTCGGCAGGCTGGGCAGGTGCTGCTTCTGGCGCGGGGACTGGCGCGGTCTCGACAGCGCTCTCGGTGGACTCGGCTGGTGTCTCGTCGACTGGCACTTCTTCCAGCTCCGGAGCCGGCACAGCGACGTCGGCGGCGGCAGACTCCGGGAAATCGGAGCCCTTCATGATGGAGCCCAGGTTGGGCATGTTGGTGGGTGTGTCGTCGCGGATGGGCGGCGCAGGCATGGAGGACTCGCGCGACGCGACGGCCTGCTCGGGCACGGCCTCGGGGATGGCGATGCTCTGGCGGCGCTGTTCCTTCTCCTCGCTGACGACCTTCTTGAGCTCGGCCAGCTCGTCGGTCCTGTCGTGGCTCACGCGGAAGCTCTCGCGGCGGGTCGCGTTGACGCTGTTGGAGGGCGTGCCCTTGGTCTGGCCGAGGTCGGTCGAGGCGTGGGCGGGCGTGGGCTCGACCGAGACAAACGAGGCGCGCACCTTGGACTTGGGACGCTCTTCGCCGCCGTCGGTCGCGGCTGCCGTGTCTGTCGGGGAGCGGCCGCGGGGCTCAGGCGAGGCAGCGGCGTTGCCGTTCTCGAACATGGCGCGGAGGTTGCGCACGCCGTTGGACATGGCTGCAGGGGGACGAGGCGAGCGTCAGTGGTGCTGGGGCGGCGGGCGTGGGAGCAGAGGGTTATAGGATACGTGGGAGATGGCCGTGGCCGCGCCTGAAACCCGGCCAATTTGTTTATGTACACGCAGTGACGGCGGCGCGACAGGGTTCTCGGGCGTTGCACAGGGAGGCTGCAACTTACAACAATGGACAATGCTAATCAACTCGCGTTCAGGAACAAGGGCGGTGACAATGGGGAACCCCTGGGGACGTCGGTCGAGCAGGAAGGAGTCGCTGGTGCTCCCGAGTAACCAAGACAACTGCCCAAAGCATCATAGCTCCAGTGACGTCTGGCCTCGCCCTCGCCCTCGCCCAGCACAGCACAACAGTGCGCACTGCACATGCATTGTATAATCTTTCATTTCGACTCCGCATTCAATCCTCAGCCCCTGGAAGCCTCTCGCTGCACATCCGCCAGTCCTCCCTTCACTGCACACACCGCTCATTGTAAATGCCGCATCGTCTGGCAGCCGACAACGACTATCTCCGTCGGCACCACGAGAGAAAAAGAAAAAGGCTCCGATGCCATTGGCAGCTGCACGCGAATGCCACGGATGAAATGTCAGTGCCACGCCAATCATGTCGCATACGGGCGCAATTCCCTCGTAATTTCCTGGCTGTGGCCAATCAGCGATGATCCTCCTTCTCAATCCTCGTCGAGCCCGCACCTAAACACACGTGACGCATAGAGCAGCGCTTGAACAGCCGGACATGTTGGTAAAGCAGGATCGAATGGGTATCGAATTCAGAACATTAAACGCAGTTTACACAGGACTGTCCAAATCACCCTCACAGCTTCCACTCGCCGTCCCACACCTCAGATGCAAATCATCCGACGCAGCACCAATCCAGACTCCATAATCACCGCCAACAGCAGGAATCACCCAGTTCTGCGACACTACATCCCACACACTAAGATCCTTTCTTGTGACCCTCAGACTAAGCGTCTGGCTAGCCCCGGCCTCCAGTTCCCTCGTCTTTTCAAAGTCACGAAGCTGAATGACGGGTGTGTCGACTGTGCTCTCGTTGGGGAACTGGATGTACAGTTGTGCGACGGCCTTGCCCGCGCGGCTTCCCGTGTTGGTGACGATGACGGTGATGTCGTATGCCGTGTCGAATAGAGCGGGGTTTCCTCCTTGTGCGCCACCAGCTGGTAGACCAGGTTTCTGCTCGTTTGAGTAACCCGTGGGGTATGGGTATGTCGAAGTCGAGTTGCCAATCTTGGCTGCGGCATCGGCATCGTTCTTGTCGAGCCACGAGTAGAGGTAGCGCCAGATGCGGTTGAAGTTCTCTGGCCAGTACGCCTCGGAAGCCGGAGGCATGGCGGTTGAGTAGGTGGGTGTCTCGCCCTTCGCGGGACGAGCTGGCGGCGCGGCTGTAAGCCGAGTTACTGGAGTAATGGTCGCGTTGGCGAATGAGAACGACGTGTAGCTGAGTCCGTGACCGAAGGCGTACCGAGGTGTGATATTGGCCTTGTGGAAGTGACGGTAGTCGATGTAGAGACCCTCGGTAAAGGTATCCTGTGGTTGCCCAATCTGATATCCGACAAGGCTCAAAGACTGGGGGTAATCATCTTCGGAGTTGGGGAGAGTGTACGGCAGATGGCCTGATGGAGACACATCGCCGTAGAGAACCTGCATCAGTGAGTCTCCTGCTTCTTGGCCAGGCAGATGGGCGAAGAGGACGGCTTTGACCGAAGGTAGATCGTGCCATTGATCCATGAGAATGGGACCGACGGTATGTACCACAACCACAACGTTGGAGTACTTGGCTGCTACGTCCCTGATAAGCTTATCGCCATTGTGCCATAGGTTAAGGTTCGAAGAAGTCCGATCTCCTGGGTTGTTCTCAACAGTGATATAGTTTTCGCCAGAGTCTGCAGTCACAAAGACGACGGCAGTGTCGCTCGGCGATGGGTTCGAGTTTCCTGGGAAGGAATCCGTATTGAAGAACTGATAGTTGGCGCCACGGGTCTTGAAGCCGTCGATCGGGCTGTTCATGTAGGGGTATCTCGCTGAGCCAGATCCCCATCCCATTCCTAGTGTGCCTTTGTTGCATCCTTGGTCCGCGCACGAGTTTATCCCGTCGGGGTTCTTCTCCGCGTCTGTGCCAAAGATCTTCAGGGTACCGTTGGAAGACAGAGGTAGCAAGCCGTCCTGATTCTTCAAGAGTGTGATAGCATCGCGGGCCACTTCACGAGCGACCTCTGCATGGTTGCCCTGAACATCCACAAACTCATTCACGATACCTTGAGGCGAGATAAGAGCGCCTGGATAAAGAGGACCCTCGGCGTTCTGAGTGTTGGCATCGAAATTGGGTCGCGGGTAGTCCTGGTCCTGGCCCATCTTGAAGTAGGTGGCAAGAATGCGTGTGACAGCATCGTTCAAGCGGTCCACTGGGAGAGATCCGTTGAGAATGGCACGCGACTGCTCGTACATCCAGTAAGAGTTGCCAAAGAGTGGAATGGTGTGGATGTCTCCAGGCATGGACATGTCAAGTCCTGCGAGCGCCGAAGCGACACCGGAGATCTGAGCAAGCCAGTCAGACATGACGAAGCCCTGGAACCCGAGCTCCTCCTTCAATATACCGTTGATCAAGTAACTGTTCTGCGAGCATGCACTTCCGTTGACAGCGTTGTAAGCAATCATGACGGCACCAACGCCGGAACGTACACCCTCAGCAAATGGCCAAAGATAGAGCTCATGAAGCGTGCGATCGTCCAAATTCGATGAAATGCCAGGCTTGACCAGGTTGTACATGCGGTACTCTTCCTGCTCGTTTGCGATCAGATGCTTGATTGTGGCTATGACGCCCGTGCTCTGGATGCCTTCGATGGAAAGAGCTCCACCAAAAGCCTGGAGAACAGGATCTGAGCCGAATCCTTCCCAGTCTTTGTCTCTGTTAGCTCAAACATCAAGGCTGGCTTCTGTTGATGCACTTACTTCTACCGCCACGCGGTTTACGTCCTAGCGGACCGACCGACGGTCCGAGATGAACGTTTACTCCCTTGCCACGGAACTCTTCGCCGATCGCAACACCACGACGATAGAGAAGATCCTTGTCCCATGTGGCTCCCACCGTGATGCCGGCAGGGAAGGCAGTGTTGTGATCCGTGTTTCTGACACCTAGAGGTCCGTCCTGCAAGCAGAGCTGAGGGATGCCTACTCTTTCTGCGCTGCCTGTGTTTCCGACGCATCTTCCCATGAAGATTCCACTACCGGCTGTGAGGTTGGTCTTTTCGGCAAGTGTCATGTTCGAAACAAGAAGAGATGCCTTTCGGTAGCTCTCAGTCCAGTCCGATGCCCATCCTCCATGGGGAGCTATGTAGAATCAGTATCGCTATGCTCGGTACAAAACTAGTCGGTCGATGTTATCTCCGATAACTTACCTGGGTAATATGGTGCCGCAACATATCCAGCTGGAACAGGATCACGTCGCTGAAGAGCAGCACCAGCGGCGAGTGTAGAGAAACATAGGACAAGAGAGGGAATCATGATGAAGGAATGACTGTAGATCAGCGAGTGAGCGTCAAGGAGGACGGTAGCCTACAACTAGGCATGGGAAGGAGATCACGGTCCTTTGTATAAAGAGCCCCTGCTTGAGCCAAATCCAACCCCGCAACACCAAGCCGGTATGGATATCGCATTTCTACCAAAACTAAGCGTGCACTAGCCATGGTGTTGTATAGTGATAGACACGGTGGGTAACGCGCATGACGGAAACAGGCATAAGACCGAGTAGTATTGTCGTGCGTCAAGGCTCAATGCTGGGGTCAAGGATTTAGGCCGGCTAATGATCGGATGCTCAAAAGGCGCATGACAATCTCGGAAGGGACTGCAGCTGTTACACAACCGCTAGGGGCAGCGCCATACGCCTGAGACAACCCAACTCTTCTTAACAGAGAAAGTACAAAGAGAAACGTCCTCGCTCACGAAGAAAAGTACATGCCTAATGTATATTCAAAGTGATTGGTCTTGAATCGATCTTTGTATCTCGTGTAGAGTGCTAAGTTCAAGACTGGGGTACAAAGTCGTTGTATTGCCAAGCTGGCGGTCTCCTACAAGCTGCCTGTATAGGTGCACCACGATCCGATCTGATCGAGTGTAGATTGCGAAGGCTTTGTCCAATGCGCCACGTGCAGCCATAGCAGTCATGCGGCACGTTGCGTCGAAGCCATGATCGTAGCTGAATGTATTCGTCTTCAGCCACATCAACGGTCCCATCACATGTCAAGATACCCGTTGGCTCGGACAGTGGATGAAGGGGTTGCGGGGTGGAGATGAAGACGACAAGGAGGATCGTGATGATGGACAGGGGCAAGGCGACCTCGGCTGCACTGGCGTATCCCCTTTCTGCTTCCGGCACACCCATCGAGCTTGTTCTCCGCCAACCACCGCGCGTGTGGACCTATGATCTCATGTTCAAATCACACCGGCATTATGCAAAGTAGCAGGTACCGAGATGGAGTATTGGATGCGATCTTAGCATACACCAACCGGGCTGCTGGCTCGACTCGAATCCGAGTCATCGATCAAGGCCCCGGGGCAAATCTTGCCGAGTAGGGAGACAACTGAAGCGGTGCCGTGGAAGAGTAACCTTGCCCCTTTGAAATGCTGAGCGGTAAACACAAACCCAATGTTTCGCTTCACAAAAATGAGCACCTACGACGTGATTATCAAATCATCAGACGCCAGAGGTACTCAAGTCATGAGAAGTCGCCCAACCGCCTGTGGCATTGAGGCTCACAGGCTGGACGTTTTCGAATGTTCGTGCAACGAAAGCAAAAGGCCATAGCGGAACTCCAAGTTCCGCGAATGACTTGGGTCTGGTAGCTATGCAAGCCCGAAGTTGATCCGACATGTTCAGCGAGTTGGGGACCAAGCGAACGCGCCTGCTACGATGGTTGTAAAGCATACAGTATACTCGGAGAGGACCTCGGGACCATCGGGGCACACGACAGTTGGTTCAACAGAGTGACCAGCTGGGTGGGTACCGAAACACATTCGTTGGGGTACTGAGCAGTTGCTATTCTTAATGGACCATACCCAACTTCGATCCAGAATGTTTATTGCTATTCTCCGGGCACACGGTGCGGAGTGCTCTTTCCGCGGTTTAATGGTGAATGAATTGCAATGAGTGACGATGTTGGGGTGAGGAGGCTTGGTGCATGCTGTTTATCGATTCTGGTGAGTTCGGATGCCGAGGTTGGGGCTGTGTGAAAGGCCACCTGGGCACGCTGCAGCGTCAGACGAACGCTTCTCTGGTACGACATGACCGCTTGTCGAACCGAGAAATTCTTTGTATGATGCACTACCGAAACGCATTTTCTAGTCATCTACGGCTTGGCTATGCCCTTACTTAGAATACCTACATAGTAAAGCGCGGCATTGCTGCACCCACACAGGTCTGCGTTGCAGGTGCCGTCGAATCCGATGCAGCTGCAAGCGACGCGGTACCGCACTTGCGAAACACTGCTACAGCACGTCAGGCATTGATCTCCAAAGCTCCAGTTCGTCAGAGGCACAGCAACGGCCGGCAGCAGTTCGCGGGCGCTTCTCATGGGAGCCTTGGACAGAACGTGCTTTCGGTTCTTCCCGCGGTCCCGCTGTGATGTGAATTCGTGTTTGCTGAGACCCACAACCCACACTCGCCCATCCAGTGGCCGCGCCTGTCGTGAGCGCCTCGCGGGCTATCGGGCGGCCGCATATTCTTTTTGCGTCTTGAGGTCGGCTATTCTCAAGCCCTCCAAGGTTCCCTTGAACTCCCTGAGCTCAGTGCGCCGTTTCGAAAACGTCTTTGGAACGGGTTGCTGACCTTCCACTCCACGTTTCTGCACATGCATCTATCTGCAGGTCCCCGAGCTCAGCCCTACTGATTATTGATGACTACGACATCCTACAGGTGTTCGACCAGATGAGGCACCCCTTGCCCTTGTGTCGCTTGCCAAGGTCTTTATTTGGGCCCTACTTATGCGCTCGCCGAATCAGATTAGCCGCCCTTTCCCCTCCATCGCTGCCCCTCCACCACTCGCCAGCGGGGATATTCTTAGACACAGCCGCATCAGGGAACACAGTGGGATATTCTCAAACAGGCGCTTCCGCTATAGTCCCCCTTCCTTGTTCGAGGGACGAACCGCTCACGGTTTGTGCTTCGGCCATTCACAGGCCCAATTTGGGCCTGCCCTGGTCCCTTTTCATGGCGCTTGGAGCCACGACCCAGTGAACAGCCTCCTCTTCGCCTAGTCGCACATGCCGTTCTCGGTAGATGAAGATCGATCCGGCGATTACAGAAACATGTCCTGGTTTCAAAACAATTCTCCGAGTGGCCTACTGGTCTTTGTCGTGGATGGAGGCTCTGTATGCGGCTCACTGTATAAAGATGTTGGCCATGCCCCCTTGATAGAGCCTCAGACAATACAGACCCAAAGGTACGAACAGCAGTTGTTTCATTTCTACTCGCAAGGATATCTCCTACCTGTCGTTCCTCATCCGTCACTCTCGTTCGCCTACGCCAACACTCCCCTAATCATAATACGCTACTCGGTCGCTTCCATTGCTCTCATCTTCCTCCTCGCCGCGTCTTTCCTATCTCCATTCTCGTCATCACTTTCTTGTCCTACTAGTCTTTTCATTCAACTGGTCAACATGCCTAAGATTGAAAAGGGCCCGGCGCACCGCCTTTCCGTGTCGACCGCATCGGCCGCAGGCGGAACTCGCAGTTCCTCTTGGTCCGCTAGAGATGATGAGACGCTCATTCAGGCCAGGGCTCAAGGTCTCAACTGGAACCAGATTGGACCGAAGCACTTCCCTTCCAAGACGCCAAATGCCTGTCGCAAACGGCACGAACGGTTGATGGAGAGGCAAAATGCGGAGCAGTGGGACGGCGTGAAGCTGGACGTACTAGCGCAAGCCTATATGGAAGTTCGAAGGGACATGTGGAGCATGTTAGCTGCCCGAGTTGGAGAGAAATGGCAACTGGTAGAGACAAAGGTATGTCATGCGTGATTTCGTACTCTTTGAAGCACCTGGTGTTGACTCTACTCAGTGCATGGAGAAGGGTCTCAAGAACCTCACTCAGGCCTTTAGGTCGGCACAAAAGAAGCTCGAGAATGGTACCTACCACGACCATGAAGATAGTGGCGTAGGCATTTCTGACCTGGAAGAAGAACAAGAGGATCCCCATGTGGAAATGCATAGCATGTCTACGATTCCCGAAAATCATTACTCCGCATACCCAAGCTACCCGTTACATCAACACCAACATCAGCAACGGGTACCGAGCATCCAGTCTATGCTGCAGCCAATGCCACAACACCCACATCACATGCAACAGCCGATGCAACAACAAATGCAACAGCAAATGCAACCACCGATGCAGCAGACTATGCAGCAGCCCATGCAATACGCTTCGCATCACCTCCCGCATCAGCAATAATCTCGCAGTGTCATTGCCAGCCGGCTGACTCTTTCTCAATGTCTCATATCTGTTTTACATCTCGTTGTCACGATCGCTACGAACTCTCAGCTTACCTTAAAAGCGGCAAGCAGTCTCTTTTTGTCCCAATACCCCCCCATTGAAGACAGTCGATACCACGGGCAACCTCTCTGGTGGCTTTCTCAGGCACGCATCACCTCGATGATGGATTATAGCCAGTCGTACTGGCAGTCACCTTATACCCCTTGAACCTACGACATTCGCACGGAGGACTGTAATCAGGAAGGAGGAGCCGGACATTCATTCCCATCTGGACCGGGTATGCGAGGAAGGCTTAATTGGCGTTTTTCATTTTCGAAGTTTCCAGTACATGCTTTTCATGGTAACACTTGGGCATGGAGAGGGCCCTTATCGATGATGTAGCCATATATTTCTTGTCAATGTTACATTTTTCATCCCTTTATTCCACGTCGCGGCCATGGTTCGCAATGGCTGTCATACTGTCACACATCCGGAGCAAGTCCGATCCGTTACTGAACATATCTCAGCCTACCAGCAATCACAGAGACTCGGCTGCATCGATTTTGTGATCGCCCACGAGTCATGACAGTAGCCCTCATCGAGCGCTTCATTCTCAAGTTTGAGCCGTTGTTGTGACAGCTACAGCACAGCCCCCCACATGCACTCAGCCTCACACTGCACCTATATTCTACCCCACCCCGCAAACTCCCAATACAAACTCGCAGCACCTTGCAGCCCCCAAATATACGTATTCCTGCAGCGGCACGATAGCTATCCGTCGGCTTACCACGCGACAAACTCGTGCGCACGCGCGGGCTAGCAATCCATCTCGGGCCCCGGACCTCGATGGTGCCGCGCTAAAAACGTATCATGACATAACCACCGTTTTGGCCGCACGCGCGCTTGCTGGCCCCCAATCCGCCCTTTGGCTTCTGCGAAGGTGGACGCGAGAAATTACAATGTTTGAGCGTGTGCGATTGCGCGATGCCCCGAGCCCCTCTGCTTCGCGTTCCCTATACCGATCCCCTCCCGGCACCTAAGCTGATTCCCGCGAGCGCGACGACGGCGAGCGGTGCCATCGCGGCTTTGGTCGACTTCTTGTCGCCGTCCCTGTCCACGTCCGGTGCGCCTTCGAGGGCGGCGCAATCGAGCTTCTCGACTCGGCTTGGTCGGGGCGAGCATGCGGGCAAGACGCTGCTGCTTACGGGGGCAGGTATCTCGGTAGCGTCTGGCTTGGCCGATTACAGAGGCACAAATGGCACCTACACACTGAACAAGACGTACCGGCCCGTCTACTTTCACGAGTTCTGTGACAGCCACGAAGCGAGGAAGAGGTATTGGGCGAGGAGTTTCCTCGGCTGGACGAACCTAGAGAAGGCCAAGCCAAACAAGGCCCACGAGGCTTGTGGCGAGTTGGGGCGTATGGGTGTTGCTGGAAGTATCATCACGCAGAGTAGGTTCTCCCTGGCAAACGTCACAGCATGCTAACGAGTTGAGCAGACGTAGACTCGTTCCACCCAACGGCGCACCCCGACCTCTCCACCATCGAGCTACACGGCTACCTGCGCAACCTCGTCTGCCTCACCTGTCGCAACGAATATTCGCGCCGGGCTTTCCAGAGCCAACTCACCACCCTGAACCCCTCCTGGGCCGCTTTCCTCGCCGAGATGATCGAATCGGGCGCCCTAGACACCGAGAACCCCGACGAGCGCCGCAAGAAAGGGCTCAAGTCGAACCCAGATGGTGACGTCGACGTGCCCAACGCCCCGTACACCACATTCCGATACCCTCCGTGTCCGACGTGCTTGGAGAAGCCGCCAAAGCGCGCAGACGGAGGCAAGGTCCACGTACAAGTCGACAAGGATGGCGCCTGGGACCCGGCGAGCGAAGGCGGAGTGCTGAAGCCTGCTGTCATCATGTTCGGCGAGTCTATACCCGCTGCCACAAAAGTCGCTGCGGAAGAGGCAGTCGATGCAGCAGGCAGGATACTCGTCATTGGAAGTAGTCTTGCGACGTACTCTGCCTGGCGGCTAGTGAAGAAAGCAAAGGACATGCAGATGCCGATTGGGATACTCAACATGGGTGGTGTCCGGGGCGAGGAAACCTTCTTTGGAAACGTCGCGGACACCAATACTGGCCGGGAAGCTGCGCGCTTAAGTGAGAATGCGGAGAAGGTTCTACCCCAGGTTGTGAGGATACTGCAGGAGATGAAGGAGACGAAGTAGAACATGTACGAAAGATGACGAAGTCAACACTGGCTCGGCAAGATACCATTGAGTCAATACGGTAATCAAGTTTGCCGTGAAGGCCGCCAAGCTAGCTAAACGATGCGCAGCATTCTAGGTATAACTTCCCATCCAACTCCAACGTTGCGTAAATGTGATATCATGTGATGAAGCAATTCATCCATCCGATGCGCGCCTGTACTACGCGTGGGAAGAAGACAACCGGACACCCAACCCAAACCCAAAGAAACCTTACGCAACACCTTCACTATCCATTCCCTCTCCCCTTTCCTCCCCATCAATGTCCTCAACAACCATCGTAAACCTGTCTTCCTTGAGCTTCATTCCCGGCGCCATGACCTCCCCCTTCTCTCTCTTCTGTATCAGCGTTCCCAAGTCTCTGCCTGGAATCGCCCTCAGATCCTCACTACAGCTACGGCAAATCCGCAACTGACACCACGTACACGCCCACTTCCTATCTTTGTCGTTCTCATGGCACACCATGCAGCCCATGGGCTGGAATATATTGTTAGACCAGATGTTGTGGCAATGTCTTGTGTAGCAGGAGAGTTGTGCGGGCGTGATACGTGGAATGTAAGACACGGGCAAAGGGATTGGTCGGCGGGTTAGGGGCTCGAAGGGAGGCGGTGTGGGTGGCGTTGTGGGCTCTGTGCGCAAGCCGTCAACGGGTGATGTTGGAACGGAAGGTCCTGGGAAGGGGGAGAGGTTGTAATCTTGGAGGTCGGATGATGTTGGGCGGGATGATGGGGCACTTGTGGGTCGTTGGAAGCCCGGGGATGGTTCGGGTGGGTCTAGTGATGTGGTGCGCATGGGTAGTCGGGTCTCAGCTGGTGGAGTGGTGCTTTGAAGTGGTAATTCCGACATTGCGAGGTATTCTTCCTGCTCTGTTGACTTTTGCTGGGTCTCAGTGGTGGCAACAGCAGGTTCGAAGCTAAAAGGCCGCCTCTCATCTTTTGGTGGTGGCAGTGGGGAAACCGGAGAGATCTCAGCATCCTTCTTTGCTAGGACTGGCTTCAACGTCGGGGAAGGTGTCATCTCAGGCGTAATGGTGTGCAATTCCATCGTGGGGATTGGAGGAGCCGGCCTCATTGCCTACGAGATCTCAGTCAGCAAACAGTATTCTTCTTTTGGAACAGGATCCAGGTACCCTTGAGTTTGCGAACATTGCAACGCAGTACGACAACTATCGTACAAGTACTGGAGAGGGAAAGGGGAGGCAAATATATACCTTCAAGACATTGAAGCCTGTGCTGCTTTTGCCGCGGAAGTGAAGGGGCGATGCCGGGGCTTTGATACGAGGGTTTGAGGGAAGACCCGTGAAGACTTTCTTAGGTGGTGCAGGGACCCTGGTGTCTTGTTCTTCCTCCGGTGTCGGTGGGAGCTCTGCTTCCGTCTTTCGTAGCTTTTCGGCGGGCTGAGGTGCGGCAGCCTCGGGCATGTTTGCTTGACTGTCGACACTGCCTTTCCTTGAGACAGCATCTGATCGCTGGCTATCGACGCTCAAGGTTCTGGGCGCTGATGTGGGGGGCATTGGAGCGCCCTTCCTTCCTCGCGGTCCATTATTCAGTTCTGCCAGACTTTTGAACTTTTTGAGACCTTGGTCTGGTACTGCTTTGCGCCCAATAACCGATGATGTGGTTGTAGTAGACGTCTCCGTAGAGTCTCTGCTTTCGCCTTGGGAAAGAAGCGAATCGTTTCTCGCGAGATCCGTCGCTGGCCTTGACGATTGGCTTCCCGCATCAGACTGCTTAACCGACTTCCGCCTCTCGGACTTTGCAGGTGGTGGAGGTGGAAGATCTTTCTCCTCTATTGCTGAAGAAGGGAGAGACTCTGATCGTGCTGGGAATGCTGGGGTAGGGGGCACAGTCGCTGTTGAACCGTTGCTGATGGTAAGCTTGAGAGATGCTGGCTTAGATTCGCGAGATAGGCTACGTGACTCGATCCTCCTCCTTGGTCGAGGTGGGGAGCCTGGCACCGGACTCCTTGGGAGAACAGGTGCGTCTTGGTCATCTGTTCTCTGTTAGCACCATTCGCCCAGGTATATGATATCATGGCTTTGTCCATGCGGCTCTCTGAGCGACGACAAAGCAACGATGATGTATCACCACGCATACAGCACATTGGCATGCGGAATCGAGGTTGCAATATGACACACAGTCTGTACCAGCGAGCTCTTGATGAATAACCAAACACGGATGCAATCCATTATAATAGAATTTGTGTGATCTCTGCTTACCTCTCAACTGAAACTTTGCTTCCATTCTCATCGCAGCTGGAAGCGGTTCACGTGCGACGCTATCTGATCGTGACGGCGGCGCAGGAAGCTTTTTGTCCGCAGGTACGGGCGACCACGTTGAAGGAGATGCGTCGCCTCGGCCAAAAGAGTTGCCATAGTCGTTAAGTAGTGCGCTGACGATGTCTTGTCTGGATGCAGGCGCAGATAACATGCTTTGTTGAGCCATGACGTCGGCCATCGTAGGGTCGAGATATGGAATGTCGTGTATTAGTTCAAGTGAAGGTAGCGGTCAAGGAACGGTGTCGGATGTATGAAAAGTATTCGAGGAGACGTCGATAATGAATGTGTCTAAGGAGCGTGGTGGCAACAAAGAGAGTGACTATGCCGTGAAGCAAGATGAAGAGACAGGCCTGCCCGATTAATATCGACTTTGTCAATTAGTACAAGTCATGAGGGAATGAGAGGAGTGGAAGGGACACGCATAGCAAACCCTCGCGGCGAAGCTGGACGTCTCAGGTACAAGAAAGTGCATGGGACACGGCTGGCAGAAGACTGGTCGGGCCTTTCAAACGCATGAAGTGTTTGACATAAGAGCCAGGAAGAGGCTGGCCTGGCACAGCTGACGACCAAGGGCTGCGCGGATCATCCATGCAAGGATGGAGGGCGTTGGAGATGACAGGACAGTCCACAGCTCCACCGCGGCGCGGGAAACCAACGTTGTTCTGCTGAATTGGTCCACGGGGCATGCCGGCCGACCTGGCAATTCCTTACCACAGCCGGTCTTGACATGGACGCAATCAAGTCCATAGCGCAAATCAAGTGCATGTTATCGACGTTGTACAAAAGGTCCGACAACGGGAAGCTGAAGCACAACGTTGATGTGTAACGTCCCAGGCGACCGCTTTCTGTCAAATCACGGCACCCCGCAAGGCTGATCACCACGTGACCAGGGTCCGCCACGTTTCAGGCTTGTTCGGAGGAGATCGAGAAGACATGCCGAGCAGGTGATCAAACCCACAGCCGGACATGCGCTGACGTGTGACGTTCGCAGATCCACATATTGTCCTTGTCCGCCTTACATGGAGTCACCATATCCATCGCGCGCTATGCTGTAATTTCCTTCTCTTCGGAAACAAGTGCGTCGGCCGAAACGAAATGACAACAACGGGGACAGGGTATAGGCAAATCGTCAGCGGGAGCGGACCCAAAGGCGCGATCGTGACGGATAGATTACCTGGGTATGTGGCATCGGTGACCAAGAATCCCAGGCTCATGGGTTGCGCCATGGCCCTTCATATTACACCGACAGACTCACAGCCAATCACTAATCAAGCCCTCGATACTGGTATTCGTGAAACGAGTTCAAAAAACTGCTTTGTGCGTAGCTGACTTTTGATCATTCGATCACAGTCTGTGCAATGTTATTGGTGTACAGAAAAGACGCCTCACTCATGGCGAACTGTGTACACGTCCAAGTGTCTCGTCGTGCCTCGACAGGCCGGATCGCGGCAAAAGCCAACGTTATGGGCCAGAGGACCCCATGACTATCCCGCCAGGTTTGCAACAATCCAAGACGGCCAAAAAAGAATCCTCCCAAGCGCCGTCGCTAATGACCAGTCGATCCTGATATCAATAATAACTAAGGTAAAGTATTTACAAGTATAGAATGTATAGGGTATCGCTCCATCACTGGAAGAAGTAAAGTAAAAACATTAAGATCAAGCTTATCGTGGGTGTGATTGTGGTGGTGGTCGTCGTCGATGCAGCCCCTTTGAGTGGGGCGGCCGTGACGTTGACAAACGTCGAGCCGCATGCTATTGATATTTGCTGAGCGGCCGAGGTATAGGTTTTTGAAAGAGGTTGTGTTGCGTTGTTGCTGTACGTGGCAAATACACCCATTGCTTGTTGCAAACACGAGTTGCAGGTTGGCCTTGATCCGCCGGGAAGTTCTTGGCCAATGGGTAGGTAGTATGGGTAGGCATCTCCCGGTGATGACATGTTGCTGACGGCGTTCGCAAAGCAATAATTTCCCTCGTCATCATGCAAACAGCTTGCTTGGTAAGACGGTTGGTATGCAACGAGGCCATTGTAAGCCTGTAGCACCAGGGGATTGTCGGTGTCGTAATCGGCTTTGCATGCCATTTCCGATAGCAGCTCCACTGCGAAATTATCCAGGGTAGGTTTGCATTGTGCTGCGTTTACTCCACAGGTTGCATCGAGAGTCTGTGTGATGCGTAGTGTAGATTTGGAGGCGTCGAAGAAACCGCTTGACGTCTGCATGGTACTGATTAGCCACACTCTTCTCTCTCGTATTATTGAAGTACCATACCTGCAATAGCAAGGAGAATGGGTGGCAGTCGTTGAATGCCTGACTCTGACGTAGGCGATTAAGGAAGTTTGCGCATGAGTTTGTGAAATTATTTGATAGGCCAGTATCGAATGCCGTGGGGACTTTGAATCCGGTGCCAGAGCCATCAGAGTCTGTTGTAATGGCGCGTTCCGAAAGAGTTGCAGAGGGTGTGCGGGTAACATCGTCGTCGCGTTTTAGAGGAGGCATCAATCGCGACGCGGTGGGTGGTGGGCTGAGATCCAGGTATAACGCCGATCCTGTCCAGGCAAGGTCGTCTTCGACGAGCAGGGCCGGTCGATCACCATAGGCTTCCGTTGCGGATACGGGGGCAGCCTGGGAACTGCAGGATAGAGATATGACGAGCAGCAGAAGCAGCGCGCGAAACTGTCGGCC